ACATTTGCAGATGTAACTGCATAACGACATGTAAAAGGACGAAACTCCGCATTGTCAATAACAACTTAACCAAATCACAGTCGTTCCCAACTTGGCCTTGTAGCTCAGACGGTAGAGCATCGTTCTAGAAATGCGAAGGTCGCGGGTTCGATTCCCACCGCGGTCAAGTAGAATTTTCTGCTTGCCCGGTTGGTCATACTTGTGCAGAAGAACAAAGACACCTTACATATATATATCCACAAGTGAACACATGGCTCAATTGAGAGCAAAAACGTACATATATATATATATATATATATATATATATATATATATATATATATATATATATATATATATATATATATATATGCATATATATATATATATATATAATATATATATATATATATATATATAGTATATATATATATATGTACTTTTGCTCTTAATTGAGCCATGTGTTCACTTGTGGGGTTATGTGTAATATGTGTTTTTATATGTTCTTTCTACACAAGTATAACCAACCGGGCAAGCAGAAAATTCTACTTGACCCCGGTGGGAATCGAACCCGCGACCTTCGCATTTCTAGAACGATGCTCTACCGTCTGAGCTACAAGGCCAAGTTGGGAACGACTGTGATCTTAAGATGTTATATATATATATATATATATATATATATAAATATATATATATATATATATATATATATACACAATAAAAATGGTACTCGGGAAAGGGAGGGACTTTTTTAATAGGATATGACACCGAGTGGCGGCCTGCCATGGTAAGCAGAAAAATCTACTTGACCAGGGCAGGATTTGAACCCGCGGCCTTCGCATGTGGTTCAACACAGAACTACCAAAGGCCGCGGCTTCAAATCCTGCCATGGTCAAGTAGATTTTTCTGCTTACCATGGCAGGCCGCCACTCAGTGTCATATCCTACTATATATATATATATATATATATAATATAATAATATATATATATAATATATATACATATATATATATATAATATAATATATATATATTAATTATATTATATATATATATATATATATTAAACATGATTTGCTCCATTTGCAACACAGGTGATAATATAGGCAAAATGTTCTCCGTGTTTACTATACTCACCCTTGACGGGCATATTCAAACCTAAGAATGCAAATTTGTCCCTTTCCCAGCTCACATATATATATATATATAAAATAATATATATATATATATATATATATATATATATATTTATTTATTTCATCTTAAAACAGTATTAGCTGCTACTTAAAGTTTCATGCTTCTTGCAATCATCAGGCAACTGTTCATAGTTCAGTTCAGTTTGGTGACGTTACTCACTAACGGTTTTTTAACGCACGCGCGTGTCCGTTGGTTTCGTACGCGCTCGTGAATTTTCCCGCGTGGAATTTTTCTGCATGGCGGCATTTCGCGAAAAGTTCTGATCTTCGATTAAGGCTTTTCTTTGCCTTTAAAAGGCACAACTTTTCCTCCGTACATAGCCTACAGTGTTTTCCGCCTGCCGAATAAGCTGGGGCACGCTTTAATATAGACCATTTTATTGTATAGTCCTTCCCTTTCGTTGTTAAACGACTTCTTATGGTTCCCATACCTCTCTTTGAATCTGTTTGCCGTCATGCGGATGCACTCTTTCATGTCTTGACTGTCATTTGTTGTTATCACCGCCTTGTAAACAATGCTTTTCGTTTCGCACTTTCCTTGGAGTGGACATTCGGTGGGCACTCTACATTTACACAATTTCTCGGAATTTTCCGCTGAATTTTCGGTTTTCGCAAGAACGCGTTTATTGTGTTTCGAGATAGCCTAAATTTGAGCCTAATCGGCTACGGGGGACCAAAGGAAAAATCCTAATTTTGGTCACTTGTGTGAAATATAAAAATTGGGTTGAAAATACGTCGAAATGATGCTAAACTAACTACAATTGCATTCTTTCATGAAAACAATACATTTGAACACAAAAAATCTATCTCGAAACACAATAAACGCGTTCTTGCGAAAACCGAAAATTCAGCGGAAAATTCCGAGAAATTGTGTAAATGTAGAGTGCCCACCGAATGTCCACTCCAAAGAAAAGTGCGAAACGAAAAGCATTGTTTACAAGGCGGTGATAACAACAAATGACAGTCAAGACATGAAAGAGTGCATCGGCATGACGGCAAACAGATTCAAAGAGAGGTATGGGAACCATAAGAAGTCGTTTAACAACCCACAATACGAGAACGAGACGGAACTTTCCAAATATGTATGGAAATTAAAGAACGCTGGGAAGGACTATACAATAAAATGGTCTATATTAAAGCGTGCCCCAGCTTATTCGGCAGGCGGAAAACACTGTAGGCTATGTACGGAGGAAAAGTTGTGCCTTTTAAAGGCAAAGAAAAGCCTTAATCGAAGATCAGAACTTTTCGCGAAATGCCGCCATGCAGAAAAGTTCCACGCGGGAAAATTCACGAGCGCGTACGAAACCAACGGACACGCTCGTGCGTTAAAAAACCGTTAGTGAGTAACGTCACCAAACTGAACTGAACTACACAGCCAAAAATTGATCAGGTTGTCACATCAGGCGTGAGCAATGTTGTGCTGCACCCTGGGAACAGTATTGTTAACAATGTTGTTGAAGCTTGTTGAATCATCAATGTTGATGCAATGTTGTTGTAACAAGTTGCGACAACAATGATGATTCAACAAGCTTCAATAACATTGTTAACAATACTGTTCACAGGGTGCAGCACAACATTGCTCACTCCTGCTTTTAACAACTTTTATCATTCACTTTATAGTATTCTCAATTTTGATTGGTTAATTTACCTGCAGTTAACTGCGTGCAAATAATACTCAGCTGCAAATAATACTCTGAGCATGCGCATTAATGTCAATTTTATAAACAATGGCGACTCGCTTTGCCGAACTGTCCGATAAAACGAACTCAAAATTGAAAATTGAGTGGTGAATGAATTGAAAATTGAGTGGTGAATGATAAAACAATTATTGAACTCGGTTCTCGCAAAATATCGTGATTTGTCGGTGGCTCGCAGATCAATTATTTGCCTCTGCCTTCGGCATCGGCAAATAATTTATCTGCTCGCCACCGACAAATCACGATATTTTGCTCGACCTCGTCCAATAATTGATAAGTATCAACATGATGATTTTTACGCGTGTATGAACAGTTGCCTGGTGATTGCAAGAAGCATGAAACTTTAAGTAGCAGCTAATACTGTTTTAAGATTAAATAAATAAATATCGCTCTACAAAAATTGTGTTGAGCACTCTTCAATCTACAACAGATAAAAAGCATTTGTTATATATATTTTATATTTATATATATATATATATATATATATATATATATATATTTATATATATATATATATATATATATATATATATATATATATATATATCCAAATCCAAAATTTATCCAAAATAAATTTTGAGTTGCAACACAGGTAATAATATAGGCAAAAATGTTCTCCATGTTTACCATACTTACCCTTGACGGGCATATTCAAACCTAAGAATGCAAATTTGTTCCTTTCCCTCACCCACACCTAGGCACTCATAATTTACACTTATATTGACATAAATTAATTAACATTTTATATAGTAGAGGTGACCTGATTGATCAGCTAATAAATTGGTTTCTTAATTTGCACAAATGTACTTTCAAAAGTGCATTATAATTTGCAATATGTTAACTTATACCCTATATTTTGGTTTTCCACCATGCACTAGCATTTATATTTTATCAGAGCTATTTGTGCAAAGGTTGGATCAAACAAAAAGTATAGCAAAAGCAGTGAAGAAATAAAGTCCTGACCTTCAAATGTTTCTGGTCATCAGGCATAAGAGTAGAGTTCCAAGTACCCAAGCTTATCACTTGTAAGAATATTTCAGGCTAAAAGTAATGAACATGGCTGGAAGTGCTTATCTGATCATTTGAACTTGAGGTGAAATTTTTTTATTGAAAGTACTTACTTACATGCATGTACATACATGTTTCAGCATTCAACGCACCTTGGTACATCTATACATGAGATGACTATCGTATTTATGCACATATGTTAGCTCTCAACAACCGCATGTGGTTCAACACAGAGCCGTCTACGTGTATAGACATGCGCAAAGCATAGTGGCTGGCCAGAGCTAGTGCTCAAACGACCACAAGGGAAGTGAGCTTTGATGTTAACAAGCGTGGGTGGGTAGGTCCCAATGTTAACATCAATTCGAGACTATACTGGCAGTTATATAAATAATGGACGCTGGATCACGCTGTCCCTGCCTAACTGACCATAAGAAAGGCTTTGTTTCGATTTGCCTGAAATATTAAAGTTCATAAGCCTCAAAAAAAAAACATTAAGGTTTTAATTTTACAGAAAAAAATTAAGCATACATTTTCGATCAGATCAATTGGTATATCAATTTCTTCTCCCTGGACATTGCATTTCTCCATCACTTTCAATTCCAATTTTTTCTGGAGACAGGCAGTTTAGTACATTCATTGACAATTTTCTACCGAAACCCTGCAGCTTTTCTCCGGATAATTCGGTTTAATGAAATTTGATTAACAAACATGACATTTGCTGACAATAGTGTAGAATATATGGACCATTGGAATGAAAATCTATTTTAATAAACTTATAAAATAAATATATCTTTATGATTCGACCACCGTGTTATCTTGATTGTAGTTTCCAGTCCCAGACCGAAAGAAGGGTTTGCACCAACATTTTTGATTGGTTAGCACAATCGATTTTTTTACAACAAGGTACTTGATTGGACTGTTTGATAGAAATGTGAAGTTCCACGACCCGTGAAAGAACATGGCGGCCAGATTAGAGTGCGATATGCATTGCTTGCTGATATTTTTAATAATTAAAGTGTGATGGTTGTTCATTGCAAAAATAAACGATTATCGCCGCGAGAATTAAATTAAGGAGTGATTTAGGCAAAGATATTTTCGTTATTACCTTATTTTTTCAGTTTTTACCAGTGAAGTTGACTGGTTTGTACTCACTCGGTGTTATACTGTGTAAAAGCAGTAAAACTGTGCCGTCACTGCTGTGTATCAATAATCATGGCAAGGAATCGCGTCTGCAACATTTGTGAAAAGTCAATAACTTTACATGGACAGAGTGATTTGAAAAATACAATGACTTGCTCATCCTGTAGTGACATTTGTAAGTGTCAGGGTTTTGTTTCATACCTCATTATAACGAATCACCTATATATGTGCCCAGTGACCAGTGTGGTGTGTACTAACTCACCAACATATCACAGTGTGCTGTCCAAGTTTATAACAAATACTGTTAAACATAGCATTAGATAATATGGTACAACTGAAGTCTGAGAAGCAGTTGTTATTGCAAAGAAAGGTGACACTTTTTAGATTGTATGCCATGTTTTTAACTGACAGCCTCCACAGGAAAACAGTTTGTTGTCAATAACTTTTTTTTCGACAACTGATAGTTGTAGACAACTAACTGCAATAATCTTTCTTTCATGCAGTAATAATTTCATCCATTATTGATATTTACATTAATCATATGTGCAATCATTTGTGAGCTACAAAAATTATGTAGGGAAGGCTAAAAATAAGAAAGTCCAAGTTCGAGAGGCAGCACGGTGGATTTAATGTACACCAAATTGTCTAAAACTTTGATAGTTCCTGAAACATTACACAAACTTACAGCCTATGATAATGAATTAAGATTGAAGCCGTCGTCCATTTTTGTGCGCAATACGTACTTGTTTTAGGTGGTGTTTGAAAATAACTCTTCCTACATTTCAATACAAAATTTTTCATTCAATTATTTCCAGTGTTAAGGTGTTCAAGAGACCTTAAAATACCTTATATCAACACAAGTTTTGCAAAATGCAAAATTTTAAGTTTATGGACATTTCAACAATTGTCTGATTTTTTTATACACCCTGTATATTACAATTTTGTAACTCCACACCAAAGATCTTTGGCGTATGCCAAACTCTATCAATGCACCAACATTATTTGGCCTGAGCAAAAAGGAAATTTAAACTTGCAATTAAGTGCTTTGGAATGCCAGAAACAACCTTTCAACCTCCCACGCTTATCAAACTATGCTTTTTTAGCACATTTTTTTGTTAATGGACACTTTCTTGTAATTTACAGTCCATTTCATGTGCCTTGAACTACCTAAAGAAATTCACCAAGTTATATGTTCATATCCATGGCAATGCAATGATTGTAAATCATGTGAAGTATGCAAAAGTGATAAAAATGAGGTAGATGTGTAATAGATCATCTATTCAGTTTATAGTATTCTGAATTTTCATTGCTTGATCAATTTACTTATCAATGTATGGGTTTATGCAAATAATAATCTGAGCATGCACATTTGTTAAAAGGGTTGCTTAGCTGCATTTAATAATACTCTTAGCATGTTCATTGATGTCCATTTTTTCAAAGCAATGTGGTGGCTTCTGTGGCTATATGATTTTTCAAGCATGTTTTATGAAACATAAACACTGAAATTTCTAAACAAATGAAACACAGCCATCAATGTTTTTTTTGCCAATATTTTGAAGCAATTCAACAACTGTAAAGACTCTATACCTACCTGAAAAATGTTCCTGCAAAAATGCTTTGAAAGCTTTAGCCATTACCAAAATCCATTATTGCAGATAAATTATTTGCCTCACATACAGTATAAGTATTAAAATAATTGATCTGTTTGCCAATGATAATTAAATCAAAATATTTTGCTTGACCTTGTTCACTAGTTGATCTTATCCTTGCTAGTAATTCTTGCATTTTGCACATCTTGCAATATATAATTCCACTGTGGACCACACATTGGGTTTAAGAAAACATATGTATTACGCTTGATTTTAGAAAAAGCTTCTGTGCTGTGATGGATGTGACAAAAATCATACATTTTGTTTAAAGCCACAATTGGATAAACCTCCAAAAGGTATGTACGTACATAATTGACTGTGTATAGTATAATTTCAGACCATTGGTCCTCCAATTTGAGAGCTAAAAATTTAAGACATACGGTCTTCCAGCTGTCATTCAAATGTGCATTTTCTTCCGAAACTTTCATTGACAGAGGAATGGATATGTCCAAAATGCAATTTGGCTGAGAAAAAAGAATCCATCAAGAATTCGCCTAAGGCTAATAAGTCGCCGTATCGAACTTCACAATCTACTCCTACTAGACCACTAAGTTTAAAAGGACCATTCACGAAATCGCCACCAAAACACGGTAGTAATTCACACAGTTCACCGAATCAAATAAATGCTGCACGCCTTGGAAAGCGACAGATATTTGGAAGTCCTCGCAAATCTGGTAGAGATGGCGGTGATTTGGTTGACATATGGGAGTTCAGAGACGATACATCCGAAGGAGAGAAGAAGCTTAAAAGAAAACTCTCCGAGGAATGTTCCACTTCGCCTAAAAAGAAATCAACAAAAAACGAGAGCAACATTCGCCAAGAGAAAACAAAAACCACACCAAAAACAGGTACTTATAACTTGTCTTTTACAAATAACATATAAACTGTATAGGATGAAAATGGGTTACACTATACAATTCACTTACAAGAACAACATCAAAAGAATGTTTCACAAATATGCTTTTCTGCCTAAGAAACCGGTAAATTTTATTTTACCATATATAGGCGAAAAGGGGAGAAAACATTATAATTTTCATAGAACTTGCCCGACGCCGGGATGCGATGGATCGGGTCATGCTACTGGTGTACTTTTGTCGCATCACACGCCATCGGGATGTCCTATACTTCGTTCGAAGAAGAAAAAACGACAGGTTTGTTACTGATAATCAGGGCCATGGCGAAGGAGGGTACTGGGTGTGTCGGACTCTTCCCAAGTTCGTTGTCAAGCATAATATTCGAAAACTTCTTCGGATAAAATTTAGCTACTTTGATTCACCATTGAACGACTCAAAATAACTTTTTAAGTTATTTTCAGTGGAGAGTTCTTTTAGTTTAATAGTGTACCCGTATAGTCATCAGGTTTAAAGACATTTCTGATAATTCCTTGCGGCTTGATTTTAGATCTTCCTTTCCAGCAACATACGATCCGCGTTTTTTCTTTTTATCAAAAAATTTCTCATCATCGCCACTTTCATGCGATTCCTGCTGATTAGTTCACTGTTATATATAGCTAAGTCCTGCATGAGTGGAGTTTTTGCTTTTATCGTGTCCTTTTCACAACTTGTGCAATTCTGAATCATTTTGTCTGAGAACAACAAAGTTATGTATGTCTTTATCATTTTAGCGAAGAGAGGAGAAGAGTTCGCCAAAGAAATTCCAAAAACATTCCAAATCTCCTACAAGACGAAGCCAAAGGAAGCCGGTAGGAAGTTTCAGAGATTTATATTATTAATGTAAATTTATATTATTACATTTATATTATTAACTCTTTTCATATGGTTGAAACGGTTAAAGCCTGGATTTGAAATTTTAAAATGATTTTTTCTAATATTCCAATGCGGTTAAAGCATAATGTCCCAACTAACTATAAGCTAGGAGTCGCTTAAGATTTAGAACTCATTTTAAAATATGTTTAACTGCTGCTGTAGTGTGATGTTACTGATTGAAATATTAGATCTTGTGCTAGACACGTACTACTGCAAATTTTCTCAACATCTATGCTGTGAAAATATGCTTTACCCAGATTGTTTCCATACTATATCCATATATGAAATAGCATTTATAGTATGAATATTATAAACTTCCATACTATTTCCAACTAGCATCCATACTATTGTCACCTCATAAGCGCTATAGTTACGAACGTACTAACTATGCCCGTTAACAATTGTGAGGACTCGCAGGAGAATCTGTGTGTCTCAAAACATTACGATTTTGCGCTCGGTTTGGTCAAGTTGATTTTGGAAAATTATATACTAAAGATAGCTCATCCGTTGTTTTTTTCGCCCAGGACTATGCTGCATACTTATAGTGTGTTGTCCTTATGAAAGTGACACTTTTTTTCTTTTGGTAGATTCCAGCTTCGAACGAATTTCATCTAACCCATTCGCTTAAAGTGAGCGTACCATCTTTATCCAAGTTACAAACTAAAAGCTGCCGAGAGAGACATGAAAATAAACCCCGTGTCGAGAATTCGAAGACTGCAACGTGTGAAACAAAGACACCGGTGACAAGGACTCCTATCTCAGCCGCTAATTACAACAAATCATCGTTTAGCAAAGAGGAAGAAGAGCATTTGAAAGAACTAGTGACTGAATACGACTTTAATATGTTCATGAGAGCCAAAGAGAAGGCTGCAAAGATGGTGGTAAGATTTGCATCCAATAACATTTACATTTTTAAACAGTTTAGGTGATCCATACATGACATCGTTTCTCCACCATGCAGCTCAGCAAATACGACTTGCTACGGTAAACGTCTGGTCAGGTTTTTCCGAATTTCCCTTTGCATTTATGTATCAGTGTACGTGTGTTATATTTCCAAATCTAACCTTCAATTATACTTACTATTTCACCGTCGATGTCATTATAACGAATATTGTTTCCGAATATTGAAACAATATTTCAGTAATGAATATTGTTTCTTTGACCATACAGTGTATTTTAAAAATCATTTGTGTGAGACCACTCCATTTACTGAAACCCGTCTTTAAATGAAAAGACGGAGCAGTCAAGCTAAAATTTGTAAAAGTTTTTTTTACTCCAAGCCTTGCTCTTACAGACGTTCTGCAGGTTTTCGAGACACCGAAGTCGTTAACCTCGACAAATTTCTGGTGGATTATCAAATTTAGTAAAATAATTTTTCAAAGGACAACTGGTTAGACACATTTTCTTTTCCTCTGTCAGGGAACCTTTGAACCAACCAGCACAAGTTGTAATGTACGTCGTATTGAATTCGGTATATACGATATCGATGCCTGGTACTCATCTCCCTATCCGCAGGAGTATTTCCATCTTCCGAAAGTTTATGTGTGCGAATTTTGTCTGAAGTACATGAAAAGTTTGACCATCTCAAGAAGACACATGGTAAGTGTTATTATGCTGTTATATCTGTAAACTGCTTCCGCGTCTTCGCGACCTTAATTCCTTTCATTAATCTGCCCTAGTCCGCGTTGTCGGTGTACCATCGTCGTACACATGCTTGCTTGCACTCGTGCGTGGAAATATTTGGGTGTGATGATGTCACTGAACAAAATAATTGTTGGTCCACTTGGTATTTTACCGCAACTTCTTTAAATATTTTGGTTGAACTGACGCATGAACAACAAGTTTCAAAGTTAAAAGCTTACAACGTTCTTTGTGATATAACGATTTCCATATATATTCGGTTAACCTCTATATCGAAACATGCTAAGGAAATTGAAGGCCCTCTAGAGTTGACAGTTGATACTTGTACAATCATTTCTGCTGTTAGCGCGCCCGGGAATTAACACACACCAAACATGTTTTCATTTTTTTATGAAGGCAAAGTGTACGTGGCGTTACCCGCCAGGGGATGAAATCTATCGCAAAGGGAATATTTCTTTCTTCGAAGTTGACGGCAAGAAAGAAAAGGTAGCCATTTGGTGGACGCCACGCGGCCCACGCCATATATAGTCGTTACACATATTTTATTGGCATTCTTTCAGACCTATTGTCAAAACCTCTGCTTGCTGGCTAAACTTTTTTTGGACCATAAAACCCTCTATTACGACGTGGAACCTTTTCTGTTTTACATTCTGACGCAACGTGATAACACAGGATGCCATTTAGTTGGATATTTTTCAAAGGTAAAATGACGTTTTATTTCCGAACCCGCCTTCGATCGCCTTCGTTGTTTATAATAGCGCGTTCTTATGCTATTTTAGGAGAAAAAGTCCCGTCTGAACTACAACGTTTCCTGCATATTATGCCTCCCACCGTATATGCGACGTGGGTTTGGAAAAATGTTGGTCGCGTTCAGTAAGTGCAAAAATGCATGTTGTTATATAGGTGCTGTGTATTTTAAATGTGATTGGTTCATTCGTAGTCACATGATTTTAAATAAATGCGGAAAACAAGTGAAAAATTTAAAAGTTTAAATAAAATTGTTGTGTAACATGCATGTTTTTTTCTTATCTAACAAAACACTTATTGTACACACATTCAGACTCAAAGCTCACTCAAAGCCCACTCTTTCCCTCGGGAGCATATATTAAGTGTATATTGTTACTTGTGAGCATCAGGGGATATTACATATATGCATGTTGTCTTTACCAGCATCTTGGTTTTCCAGAATTATTAGATGATGTAAAAAAAACGTAAAAGGATCGTAAGTAATCACCGGGGAAGAATATAAGTTAAATATTCCAATCGCTTTTATCCATATATCATATATAGAACGATTGCCAATTCCTGAGAAACAAGATAGAAAATAATTCTGTTGATAGTCAAAATAATATTTTAAAAAACGGTTTGAGAATATAACATGGATATAAATTCACCAGAATTTTCTGTCCTGCCTGTGTTTTAATAGTTTTTAATCTTTTGTATGCCTTATAAGAATTGCTTTTCGGAGTTTGCTTCTTTCTATACTTCGTTAAAAATTGTCTCGTGATATAAATGATTTTATACCACCTCAGTTGAATTAATTACTATTTTGTGGCACTTCACTCGATGTAGGTAAATTCTAAAGGTTTTTAAAGGGTCTTAATTTCGAGTGGAATTATACACGTCTGATATTATTTGCTTTCCGTTTAAGGTTACTTATTGTCGCGAACTGAGTGTAAAACAGGCTCTCCTGAGAGACCTTTATCAGATCTTGGTCTGATAAGTTACAGAAGTTATTGGACCGAGATAGTCCTTGGATTCCTGAACGATAACAATGATGACGCTGTCTCTATAAAAGGTATGAGCATATTCCCTCCCTAGACGCAAAAATCCGCCAAATTTAATCGGCGCGGAATTATTCCGGCCCTGTTTTTTTATTTTAGGATAATTTTTCACATTTATCTCTGCAATCCCAACGGATTTTTTTAAAAAATTTTTCACCAGACTTAGCCCAGCCTTTCCACTTAGTCTACGGGTGTTTGTTCTCCTTTTAGACATTAGTGCACTGACAGGAATTAACACCGCTGATCTTATCAGTACTTTGCAATATCTGGGAATGCTCAAGTATTGGAAAGGCAGCCATATTATTTTGAAACGTGAAGTATGTCGTACTTGTGTGCATCCATTTTTTATATACTTAATATAGTCGGTCTATAGCTGTAAACTTAATAGAGGGCTCACGATTTATGACGCAGGCAGCTCGATGAAGCGCATGCATATATATGCGAAGAAATGTATATTGATATTTGCGCAATATAAATTAATAAATTATTATTATTATTATTAAATTATGAAATGTCCATCGTGCAATGCACGTCAAAAGGTATGCAACCCTACGACCGGGTTGCTATTTTTTGTTGCTAAAAAGGCAATTTCACAGCTTCTCGTGCACTGATATGGAAAGCAGCTGAATCGTGATAGCGGTTTAACCACGCAAATGGAACGGCAATATCAGGTTGAAAGCGAAGATTCTCTGCAACATTGAAACGGTTGTAAGGATTATTGAAACGTGCTTCAGAAAGCATGTTGATTAATTTCACATCGCTTATTTTAAATATATGTAAAAATCAGAATTCTTAGGCCCTGCGTATTTACACTATATACTGGATTCGCAATGTCACATGTCAAACGACGTTTTACGCGCCAAAAGTATGATTGCATGTTTGCTATATTGGTGGTTGTAAAATTGTACAAATTTTACAAATTACTATTTGTAAAATTATTATATAAATACGCGCTTACCTACCATTCGGCTGTTACGATTTTTGTATTTTCCGTTTTGAGATCTAAAATCAATATATTAAAAAAACTCCACGTTTTAGGAATTTCATGAATCAAAAGATTTTATGCATGGAAGAAAATAGGCGTAGAAAAGTATGAACCTTGTTTTGTAATGAAACGTAAAATGGTACCGGTTAACCCTTCATGTAATAATGTCATTCTCGTGATACTCTTTTATCATCTAACAGGAAACCTAGCTCTGTTGAAAAACTTTTATCTTGTATATCATGCATTTTGACATGTATCCAAAGATGTACGGATCTACTTATAGTTGTTTGCTATATGAAGCGTTTTTTTCGCAAAGCGAATTTACTATGGTTACTGTACAGTTGTTCGAAATGGTTGCTCCGTGGGGAAGTATCGTCTGTGGAAAACTGATTTTTAGTATTATTCATCTCTTACATATAGGACATTCTTAAGGAATATCAAGACAAAATAAGAAATCGTCCGCCAAATTATGGCGCAGTTGATCCAAACTGCCTGAAATGGACACCGCCTGACCAGAGGGAGGAAAAATCGTGAGGGAAACAAAAACTCTTCTCTTACATGAAGACGAAATGTTGATGATAGAAAGGCTTCTCTGATTATGCGTAAAGCATCGTGACAACGGAGACAAAAACAAACTTCTCCGATTGACGGGATAATTTGAGAACAAATAAACATTTTGCCGTGTTAAAATTTACGGGTATATGTGTTCAAGGTAGATGCAAGCCAAAGTAGGGAGAGATCCCTGGCTTTGGGGGAGGACGCGTTTAAGGAGCGTCTGGCGACATTCCAAGCGGCAAAATTTACATTTTTAGGCTTCTAAATATTCTGAAAAGTAGAGGTTCCGTGCTGGAGGTTTGGGCATGATCTGGGCAAACCTCCAGGTTTGTTGTGGGTAGCCCGTTTGCGGGCTAACCACTATGCTACACGCAAAAAACGATGAGCGATGATGCATGTCTGTCCGCCGGGTTTGTTTATCTACGAAAGAGACTGGGCACAGCCGAAATTTTGTCAGTCTGATCGGTGTAAACTGGCTTCAACTTTCAGATAAATTAATCGCAGAAATGGTATTTCATTGGTATTTCATTGATTATTCTTATGTCTACTTTGTTATAACTGAATCCAACTAGCAAACTAGCCCATTTTTGCCTTTGCGTATAGCATTAGAACGTAAAACTAAGCATCATGCAGTTGATTTCACGCCATTATTGCGGCCTGTCATTTGACATCGAACAACACTTGAAAATCTTTGCCAATGCTTTGGAGGCTACCCACATGTATGCATTGCATACCTATTTTTTTTTCTTGTAATTAATAAAATGAGTGATGAATGAAGATTTTACCAAAATTTGACGATCAGCCAGGGCGAAATCTTCAAACATCAGGACTACTGTTGATTCCTACCTGTACGAGCAACGTCACAAGATTATTTGAGTTTGTTGTCAGGCAACCAATTTAGGCAACCTCGTACCGAGAGCATTTTGACGTCGTCCTAAATGTGCAGACTAGTCCCTAGTCCTCCTTAGCGTGCCTTGCATTCTTGTGACGTCACCGGTTTGAACGCGCGGGAGGGGACCAGAGGACTAGCACAAAATGTCAGTAATAATTCTTAATTCACAATGGCTGTAAGAAAATTTTTCTGAAGCAATACTAATCTCAAAATATTTGCATCAGGAAGCTTTCGTCCAATTGGATAATGCTTTTCTATGGCTTTCTAAAGAACGAAGCTATGCTATTGGTTAAAACAGAATTTATTGTAAAGTTCAGCCAATGAAAATCATTTTTGCGAGGAGCTGCGACACTACCCCAAATTTTTGAAATCTCAACATTTTGTGCTAGGAGCCTAAGCCTCTCAGCGCGGGCTTATTCGCGGGCTACCCTACATAATTAACAACGCGCGTTTACAAGGCCTGGGACTAGGCTGTCCTAAATGTGGAGGTAAAATTCCCTGGGTACGAGGTTGATTGTTCTACGAGGCAGGTTTTCTAGGGATATTTTAGGGCATAATTTTCTCGCAAATTACCTAACCCTACCTGTACCCCCTGAATTTGCAGGGGTAAATGTACGTGAGGTCAATCTCAGTAATCGGCTAAACTCGTAGCCAAAGCCTTCAGGGAAGGAGCACGCGCGCGATGTCGAACGTGACGACAAAAAACAAGAATGGTTTGGCATTGTCGCCCAACTTTGAAGATGGCGACCAAGTTATCGTTTCATTTCATAGAGTTCACTAGTTTGCTACTGTAAGAACTAGTGCTGTTTGCGGTATGGATAATGCGATACAAGGATTCAGTAATTTTTATTGTGTTACGAAATTCCGTTAATTTCGAATTAATGTAATTTTCACGCTAACAGAATACCAACCTATTTACTATTTATTTTGTGTTTATTGTTCCTTAAGACACTAAATTATTCAAAAAATCTAAAAGGGCGGTCAAGTCCAAGTGTAAGGAATGGAGAGTTACATGGGCTTGCTTGCATATCAATTTTCAAACACGTGTTAATCCAATACTGATTTTGAGAAATATGATGTACCTATGGCTATGAACATCACTTGGGTTTTCAAAGTACTTTAAAAAAATAGAATATTGAGAAGGACTGAAACAATGCGAAACTCGGTGTCATTTGCAGAAGACTTCTGCCCTCAAATGTCAGTAAAATCACCAACAATTAGCATGAAGGAAGGAATTTCCTCGCAGTCGGTGGCAAGCATGAATGCATAGGACTGCCAACGAAAATTTAACAGAATTGGCACCTATAGTTTTCATTTTTAGTTGTTTTAGTTAGTTGTTTTAGTTAACTGTAGTTTGCAGTTTACAAGTATACAACTAATTCAATGACAGTTGCTTTACAAATCACCAAACCCTAAACTCTGAGCGTGCTGGAGAGATGATGGATTATTGCTTCTTTGACTTGGAGGTATGGGAACTCACAACAGAAAACCCACATGCTTCGAGGGCGATTTAGACTATGTGCACACGGTGACGTTTTCGAGGGTTTTAATCCTCGTTTTTATGCTAAAACGGTCTCAACTGCCCAGCCTCCTCCGCAGGCCTTGGTTGCCTCATTGGAAGCTTACCATTTTGAGAGCCAGCGTGTTTGTAACCCTCCCATGAGACAACGAGGGCCTGCGGAGAAGACAGTCAAACACCGTCAATTTACAATAGAAGTTGAAGGTAATTTAACATATTATCCTCTTGGATCTTGTGGACAGGAGTCCACTCAAAACGTTAAAATAGACAAAAACGATTTTGAAAACGCTGGGAAACAACGCTCGTGTGCACACAGCCTTAGTGACTTTAGGGATCTGACTAGGTAACACCCGTCATCCCTTGCGTGCTTAGAGTTCAAGCTTTAGGGTATTGAAAGAAAAACCTTATAAATGAATGAGCTATATATAAAAATGTAGATCGGTTCAAAAATAGCGTGATACAATAGTATTTTTAGTCCAGCACCATCTCGCCGTTCAATTTATCCGAATGGCATGTAATTTTAGCCCTTTTTGGCAAAGTATACATTGTCATTGATCGCAAAATAACTCGAACGGAAGACAACAGCTTCCGGAAACGTAAGTACCGATGGAAACATTGGAAATTTGAAACATTTGAAATATGTAACAGAAATATTGTGTAGCATAGGCGCCATTGTACTTTTTGCTGATTTGCATGCATGAAGAAAAGACCCTTTAACACGATGTGAGCGGCACATGTGCCAATAGATTCGATTTTTTGAAAATTTAACAATCTCATAGGAAATATTTTACACTGTCACTGGTCCACTGATCTCGCAAGAAAAGACTATTACAAAAGTTGCAGTTTGATAATTTGTCGAGAAAGTGATCCCGTGCTTCGTTTGTAGCTGTCCACAACTCGAATATTGCACAGCGTTCTACTGTACAAAATCTGGTTTTATATCCTTATATGCAAATGTTTTAAAGAGACCACATATCTTCGCCACTTGAACCGCTGATCTCTTCGAAATTCTCGTAAACTGCAACATTTAAAAACTATTTAATTTGCTCCGAAGAACTGATATTGTCAACTTACAGATAGAATCGATGGATTAAATATTATTTTCTTTTTTGGTTGAGCCGAAAGTCTTTGTTTTAGCGTCTCGTTTTCTTGTTTGAGAGTTTCCCTTTCCCCTTTGAGTCTTTGATTCTCACTAGTTAATTGCTGGATTGTCTGTTTTAATTTTTTCACATCTGCATTGACGTCTTGTAGAAAGGTCAGTTTTTATTTGTACAACTTGATTCTACAAAATGTTTAAAAAAGGAAGATGATTTGACAAAGGACACAGGTAAAATTCCTTACACAATACTCTGGTTGCATGGAGAAAATCCTTAATCTTGAGCTGCTCCATAATCCATATCCACTTTAGTAATATTGATTCGTCATGTAAAGTCAACTGATATGACTGTATCACGCTATACTATGAAGCCAATGGCGACCATGTTTTAAATGGTCACATTTAAATTCACAACGTATTGCACACTACATATTTACAACATAGCCTAGCCAATTTCAAAAGGGGAGCCATATTTCATAGACCATTCGGTCAGTGGGAGGCAAATTTGAGGGTGGGCAAATTTTCCAACAACTTTAGGGTAACGCTGGTACACAAATGTTAGTATTAAAAATGCTCGTATTATTGGGCAATGTAAAAAAGGCGAATCCTATTATCAACTATCCTAATACTAAATCTTATTTTCTGACAAATCAATCAATATTTAAGAGCTGTTTGTATGGTCACGCTTGCGGGGATAAAATTCTAACCAAAGAGACTTGCGAAGCCAGCAGAGACACAATCTAAGATGCTGTTCATCAGCAGGATAATAACGTACTACTCCTGAGAATCATTTTCTTAAAAAGTTGTTAAATTATCCCGGTAGGCGAGATCACATCAAGAGGCCCTGAGACAAAAAGTTTTCCATGAAAATGGCATATTTTTAATAAGCAAAATAGTTGGGCGAGTTAAAAGAGTCTGTTGTTTCTTGGAATAACAACAACATAAAAAATTAGATGAAAAGATTAAAGGCTATAAATATAATATGACACGAGATAATAGTGTAAATATGTACTACCTACTGTATAAGAATATATATCTAATAAAACATTTACATACCATAGCCTTTTTAATTTTTTCTGCAACTATTTCATCTTCAGAGAGTAACCTTTGGGAACAATTAAACATTTATTAGATTTTGAAGTCTTAGCACAATTGTCAAACTGTCTCATGGACAATTGTAGCTGGACTTTACTTGAACCTTTTAGTACTAAAAGAAATAGTATAAATGGTAGTTCAATTAAAACTGCCACCCCAACTTGAAGACTTAAACTTTTCCTGACATTTAAAAGCTTTCAATGTTGTTAAAAAATTGTGTGGAGGTTTACCAAATGTTTATGTGCAACTAAGTCATTCATTATGCCAACTGTTCACTTCAAAGTTGTTGATTGTGTGGTCATGTAGTATATATTTGCTATGAGATTTTAAAGTGGGTACAGGATGATTACAAAATGGATTTAGATTTTCAGGGCATATAACAGACCAAGCAGTTGTTATTAAAGCCATTACCCTTGATTTCAAATTGCATACAAAGTGACCAGAAATGTTTATTTGCCACTCCAAAGATGTGGATGATGAAGCTTCCAATACAAAAGTTCTGATTCACTTATTATTGTGTCATCATAGAACAATGGAACAAACTGGATGAGCTCAGTACTTGGCAATGAACATACCAACAAATGCTCTAAGTAATGTTTGAAATGCAAATTGAAATCAAGAGTAATGATGTGCCCACAATAGAAGATAAGATTACAGTTGCAACCACAGTGTCCAATGCTAATGGATAAACTATTAAACTTGCAGACCACATGCAAAGCCTAGACAAGAGCACAAAAATAGATACCACATCTGTCATTGTTGCAAGGTCATTTTAGATAGGCAGTTACAATGGTCTTACTGTAGCCAGTTGTTGTTGCTCTTTAATTATATTGTTTTTAAATTAAAGGTTGGCAGTAGACCTTCAAAGTGACCAATCTCTAGAACGCCTAGGCTTATGCTTTAAACTTTAGTATGCTACTCAAACTGCATAACCATACGCAACTGGTTGTAGACAGCCTTGATATCAATTTCCACCAGATTGCATTTTTTTTCAACATAGTAAAAATGCTTGAAAGGCAATGAAAGTGAACAAATGAAGGGAAACTGTAAGACTCAGGTTTAATTTATAAAAATAGGTTAGACCAAAGTATGGACAATTTTAAACAGTTCTAAAAACACTAATGGATACTGCTATGACAATCTCAACTATTTCAAGAATGATTACTTTTTAATTGCAAGTATAACAAATAAATTCAGAAAAAAAGTAGCAGATTATCATTTGTGAGAACAACAGTAAAGATAAAATAATGCTGTCTCTATGAACAATTTGTCAGGCATGAGAGAAGTTTGTACGCAGGATATGATATCTGGTTTATCTGGTTATAAGGTTTCTTGACAAATGCAAGCAAATGTTACTTTCTATTGAATAAACCAAACTAGTGTTCAATGTCATTGCAAAGCAAATAGTCCCATTTTTCTTGCATGCACTTCTGCCTCCTATGCAGATGTACTAATATAGCAGACCAGACCCAATATAATCATATAAACATTCAATTAATATAACATACATAGTGTACTTGTAAACCAGATACAGCTAGCATTTCATTGATGCCTCAGATAGCCCAAGTTGCATATTATGGACTGCCAGTAGCATTGCTTTTTCAAAGTTTAAAAAGTTTACTAAAGATATTTCAAGTTGAAAAGACAAACAACTTGTGTTTACATTGTCCTAAATAAAACTGCAATTTAGCTGCGAATTTTCCTTGTTCCTTTTAGTCATTTAATACCACCAAAAATTAACACATTCAAATTTCGCACATTAGACGTAAATTGCAATGCCAACGAAATAATTTTATGTCAAAAAAAGCTAAAAACTTTTGCAATATCCTGAACAGGAAATAAGTCATGACAAAATAAACAAATCGAATGCCAATATTTTGAGTATCACAGAAAACGACATAAAATAATCAAAACAAACTGTGTTAACTGAATATTTATAACCGCACCTCAATAATATTGAAATTTGAAGAGAGATACTGACTGTATATATATGTATAAAAAATAATCTTATTATCAACTTAGGCTGCTTTATTTGTACATAGATTATTTATGAAGATATGACAATCGAGTGGATTTTTACACATTTTCACCAAATTCTTCGAGTTCTTGGCATACTCACCATATAAACACATTTATGCAACGACTGATGTGTTTAGTTGTGCAATAGACATCAACCGTGTTTTCAAATGTTGTGAAAGGGAATTTGCAAATATATACACAGATAAACTTTTCTATTAAGATCGCTTTTGTTATGGAAAATAACCGTTACAATTAACCATAATTGTGTTCCTCGCTGCAGTCGCGAGGAAAGCGTCTGCTCTAAACAACACATGACAATCATAACACGTTTACGATACAAAACAAACCCCATCTCTGATTGCAAACATTTCGTAGGTTTCTTAAAATACAATTTCTCAAAGCTTACCTCAACGTGGCTTCGTCTGCCAGGGCCCCCACAAATTCGTTTGTCAAATTCTCGCAATTCTCTGGTCCAGACGAATTATTTATGATCATATCCCTACCGCTGTTATCTAGCTTTGAGGAACCTGGGTTTCCGGCATGCTCGCCAGCATTTGTTGTAGGGTTTCTTTCGTCAAAATACTTAGTTTCACCGACTGTATTCGCCCGTGTATGTCCATCTTGTGAAGGCAGCTCAAAGTTAGTGTCCGCTGGTTTAGAAATAGCACCACTACTTACGCTAGAATCAAGTAAATTTCGAGTTGAACTAACAGTTTCGTGTTCCACTCTGTCATTAAGGTCTGAACTGTAGCCCGGTAGGTCTGCTAGAATTTGTTCGGCCGAAGGCGGTGGGCATTTTACGAAATCCCAACATCTCCAGCGACCCCTAGTGTACGGTTTACTGTCATAACGCGGAATTTTTACAACTTTAAACCGCGATGTACCGTTTCCATTGCCAGATGAATGTGTTAAAGTAGACTCAAGATTTGTCTCCTCCTCCTCAAGGAATTCACTTTCATTAAGTTCGTCTAAATCATCATAGCCGTTGCTATCACCGCGAGACCGACCTTCTTTCGGCTCAATACTCGTTACCTGAAATGAGATTTTCTTCTTCGGCTGCACATTATTGATCGCTGTTGTATCAGTCTTAGACGTGCTATTGTTTTGTTCAAATACCCCAACATTTTCGGCGCTATGCTGCTCGCCATATAAATAACCCTCATCCGGTCTAGTTTCGACATCATAGTCTGATTTTATGCTTGTGATTTGAAAGCTCGTTGTCTTTTTTGGTTCTACAGTTGTATCGATACTAACCGATGGCTGTTCAAGGTCAGTGCTTTCTTTTGATGCATTCCACACAGGCTTTTCTTCTACGATGTGAGCAACATTAGTAGAGTCGTCCACACCAGTGCTATGTGAGGGTTGTTGATCACTCATATCCCTTCATAATTCTTCCCAACTACGACTCGAAAAGCTAAGCGACGAAGCTCATTCCGAGCACTCTGCCACAAAATCAAGTCAATTATTTAAATCAAATTTATACACAAACTATAAAACGTATGTAAAGGCCAGCAAACGAAGAATATATCACCTGAACTAAAACTATCTGTACTCCATGTTTTGAGTCTTTCCGAAGGTGACGTTGGCGCTTCACTGAACTTGCCGCCAGATTCCTTCCGCTCGCGCGGTTATTTTCTTGTGTACGTGTTCAGTCACTTCATTTTCCGATGATTGAACGTCAAATATCTAAATAACCTGTAAGCCACCAGTTTCAATATTTATCATACTGGAAGAATTGCTACACTTTTACCTATTTCTCTGTTTTCTTCCACTGTTCTATTCCACTCCAACTCCAAGGCCAAGCTTGAGTTGTCAGGTTGCGGTGCTGACGCCCAGGAGGTGACGGTGAGTCGATCGACCACCACAATAGTAAAACGATTAGGTACGCAACAACATTTAGAGACAGCTTGCAATGCAATCCGTTTGAGAACAATTTCAAATATAGCGTCGTAATGTCGTTGCTAAGACCACACCCAGAGTGCAACCTAAGGACAGGCCAGGGGGGTGAGGCTAAAGATAAGAAAAGAAGATAGGATGTCAAGTGTGTTCATAGTTTACCAAAGTTTGGTAGATTAATTAATAGAAATTTTTCATTGTGATCTCACCTTCTTCTAAAAGCGCTGCACTACTGCTTAACGTTTTTAAAGTTTCGACCCAGGTTTTCTCAACGGGCTACTTCTCCGTTGCGGCGAACATGTTCGGCTGCTGCAATAGACCTTTTTTCATAATGACGCCAAACTCCACAAAACTATCGAGCCAATCAAACTTCTCGTAACATCATACTTTCCGCGTTTGACGTCATTATAAGAAAGGTCTATAGAGTACGATCGGCGTTAATATGAACGAAGGCCAGTTGTCCAGGGGTCAACTTTTGAGGAACTCTCTGTCAACTGGTACTCCCGATTCAGTGTTCTGATTGGCTCGGAATGACTAAGTATGCTGTGTATATAGTTCAGTGAAACATTGTCAAAATTCGTTACTTCTTTCAACAGATTGGTAGTCCAGGTTTATTAATATCGATGATTGTACTCGAGTATACTCGATATATACCGGAACGATAATTGCTCATTAAAATTAGAACGTTATGGTTGGATGAAACCAAGATGGCGGCAATTGACTTGCAAACTTTTGAAATTCATGAACGGTTAAACAGTCGCAAATAGAAAACTTTATATTTCACTCACAATACAAACATTGATTTATTCATCCACTTAAAAGTTGTGGACATGTTTAAAAAAGACTTTATTCACACTAACAACTTCTTAGCATGCAGTTTCGCTTCAAAGCCATTTTCCACTTTGACCATATCGTAGCGAAACGCCTATCTCGTTGTTTTAAAGTAATTAGTTTTAGTCGAATACTCTGGAAACAAAGAACGTTACGCTACGATACGGTTGAAGTGGAAAACAGCCTTTACTTTTAAGAATTGTTAATTAATATCCTGAGTCTCCAATCATTTAGCGCGAGTTTGCATTGAACGCAAAATGCTGTTCAGGGCCGTTAATACAAACGGCCTCAGGTAAGCGACTGGGGATGAGTCAGGTTTATGTCTGCAGTAGCGTTCAAATTGCAGTAAAAATTGCCTTGGGTAGACGACTTTCAGTTAGTAATAAAATAAATAATCTACATTGGAAAAAGTTGCACTAGTTTATTAAATAGCACAGTTATGATCTTGACCAGTATATAAGGCGCATGTATACGTCTTCCACCATATCTCCATAGTGCTACCTTCCATAATAATGGCGCAATAAAGAGACTTAGTGAAGTCACGCTTAAGATGATTAAATATATCTGAAAAAAAGCGAAAAAATAGTATTTTTAGGCCACAAAGTATTCAATATGCAGTCGGATTTTACCGATTATGTCTCAGGCCTCGAAATAACGAACACTGTTACCGCGGTTACGGGGAACCACTGAGGTGAAAGGCAATTATTAAAGTCTGCTTAACTTGTGGCCATACATGCATCAATACATAAATTCAACCTCCACAATTCCAGGCGCGGTCAACATTAATGCTATAGACAAATTGTGGCGAACTTGACCGGTCATTAACTGTGACAACTGTCCGTTATTTTAAGACCTGTTAAGCTTTACGGCTGCTCTCCACTGTCGCGTTATTTGCACGTACGTATATATACACGCACGTAAAAGCTTAAAAGCTTCTAAGTTGTTGTATATTTAATTTTATGGCAGAAAAAACCCCAACAAATCTTCAACAAAATCTAACCCTTAGCATCTATATAATCGTTGATCTTATAAGTATCACTTAATGATTTTAAATTTTACATGCGTACACGCGTACGTACAAAAAAGCAGCCCGTATTATGATTGCATAGCAAAGTTAATTTGAATCGCATCTCGTTATCTTATCTGCAGCATGCCATGATTTTCAACTTGGCTTTATATGCAAAGTTTCTTAATTAAATGGCGCCATGCTACATATAATGTATTTTACAGAAGACAGTTTCCAGGACCGTTGACTACACAGCGGAGAGGAATGAGGAGCATAAGGACCCACGCATATCGCATTACGAATGTTTCATTATTCATGTTTGTTCAGTCTATGTTAGTAAACTTGCCATGCATAACTTGCGTTAGTTGACTCTCAATAAGGCCACATGGCTTATCTTGTCCAACGGATTTTCACTGATGTAAATTTCGTACTTTGCTGCGATATTCCAGCAAATATATAGCCTTTCAAGTAAACTATTGCACTTACAAAAGAAATCCGTCGGGTAGAACTGAAGATATGAACATTCACACCCCCTCACCCCAATTATCGCTCTAGTTACCCCCCTGTAAGAACTTCATGTCGCCAAAAATAGAAAGAGAGAAATTTCATGAATAAAATAAATCTTAGACTCTTTAATTATTCGCTATTAGTTTGCTCATAGCAAGCTGTTACGTCTGGTTCTCATATGTCACCAACGATCGGCGATGGCTGCTGTTTGTGGAATCTTTCAACTTGCAATGCAATTCTAATTTGGCAAGTGATGTAAATTAGTCAAGAGTCTTCAAAATGTAAGTGAAAATACAAATGAAACGTACCCGGCTCAAATGTCTCAAGACAGGAATTTTTTTTTTAAATGGCCTAAGCTTCAAGTTATCCTTGTGCCTATATATATGTTGTTACCAGCCTATTGTCTTCCTGTTCCTCACACGCTTTTGTCGCAAGTGAAAACCAAGGTATGTAGCTTTAAAATAGATCAATCTCGCTCCTTTCGTTGTTCCCCCTGACAGCATTGAGAAGAATGGATTATCTTAATTTGAGATTTATCATGCTATTGCGCTGACATTTGAAAAACGAGTAAAATGAATTAATAAATTAAGAAATATTTGGCAAGAAACCCAATATGAAGAGGTTTGAATTTAATACAATTGCATACTGAACAGTCTGAAATTTTTAATAGCATAAAAGCACTATATAGCAAAATTTTAGAAAACAAACTAGGCATATTATTGCTCTAATGCAATGCTTTAAAAGTCTATTTTTCTAAGATTTTGCTCCGATTCAGGGAAAAGAATCGATGTAAAAATTTGCGATAGCCGCGGCTTATTTCCCCATAACACAACATTTTCTGCAAATAGCTTTCGTTCAGAGAGTTTGATCCGACCATCCAGTTTCGCAAAAGAACGCCAGAATATATTAAAATGTACTTTAAATGCTGGTTTTGATGCTAATACGCGAAAGTGAATGAAGTTACATTTTTCAATCAAGGACTTCCCGATATATTTTCCAGGAGAATTTCAAGTCCCGTAGTGCTGTGTTTTCAGCTGAAAAAGATGATGACGTGATGGTAACATACCTCTCTTGTTATCAATCCCAGTCGTCGCGCTCGACTTCCAAGAACAAACGAAAACTCACTGACTTGAGCGAGACCTGCAGCTATAATAAACCTCACGTTCCTTGGTTGAAGCATTAGAAAGCGAAGAACCGAGGAGGCAACGACGAACTGTAAGAAAAAATTATGATTAATATTGCATGGTAAATACGAGTTATGTATAATGCTCAGGTTGATATGGAAGACATATTTAACTCTATCTATAGTTCACGGTTCTTTTGAAAATTTCCATTGCCATTGGTATCTTTAAACGCTAGAAACAGACTGCACATGAGTAATTAATATAATTTGCTATCGATCGGTGTTTAAACGTCGAAAGAAAAGAAAAGATTGTGGATAATCATCAGACTTCAGTCCTGAGTGAAGCGCGAAATTGCCACGCAACGATTTTATCGTTTTACAAAATTAATGGGGGGTTACAGTCGCTTCAGCGTAGTCTACCTGTCTCAAAATTGCTCAAATTTCGCATGTTTTGTATATCTCTGAACATGAACTTTCTCTCATTTAATAGCGAACTAAAAGCGTGCATGTTAAATATTCTGAAAGTTCTGAAAATTCTGAAAGAAGATTCAAAATGTAAATAAAACTTTGTTTACATTACGTACTGTACCCAACCTTTAATGTTCTAACTTACAGTCTGCGCGTGCATTGAGATAGCCGAGTGTAAAAAAATACAAATCTGAAAAAACCTTTATTATTACAACGCCGAGAGTTAACGTTGTAATGAGAGCCAGCTGATCATAAAGAAACGTTGGAAACACATGTAAACCTATAATAACAAAATATTCGTGGGTTAATTACTAAAATTTCCCGTACATAGTATATATATTGCCCCCTTCTCGAGAAATTTGAGTTAAAGATAAACCCCATGCATATATTTTAAGGATTTTTGTGATATATAGTCACTAAATCCCTGTCCAGATTTTCACTGAAGTATTTGGCATCACCCAGCTGCTCCCTTGTTTTGTTATTAGATCTAATTGTTATGTCACAACAGGGCAGACACAACACAGTAAAGACATTGATAAAAATTAGAAATTACAAGCGCCAAATATTTTATATTTGTGAGGCGATTAGATATGACATTTAGGAGATTTGTGTTATAATGAATGCAATAAGAAAGTGAAAATACCAGATAATTCTACTCCTGTCATGACGTCATGCATATTTTACGATAGATATACCAATATCCAAAGAAGGGGAAAAACGGACATATTTATTCTCAATTATCTCGAAAATTAAGAAGATTATGGAAACATAGGAAAGAGGATTCGACTGGTGATTTCCCTTTGAAGGCCTCACGTCGCGAGCGTTTGCATCTCGTCGAAAAGAATTCACGGCAGATTGAAGCACATAGCGAGCATATAAAAGTGAAAAATAAGGTGGTCCAATACAAAAAAATTTTATTTAATTTTGAAAAGTAAAAAATCTTTTCATGCCATATTGCAAGCCAAGTTACTCTGAGTGAAAAAATACTTGTAGGAATCACTATAGTTACCCAGACCAGACACACCCAATGGTGGAAAATAGACGACTTTGGAAACATGCACAATAACAAACTAGGTTTTAACTCTAGAACGACGGAATTGGTTTTATTTAGTTCTAAATATTTTTGCCTCGGAGCTGAAATAGAATAAATAAAACTTGTCCAGCATTAAATGTTTTAGAGACTATAAATATAAAACTTCTACGATCTAATCTGAAATAACCAGTCGCAATTTTACTTAGACTGAACGGAATACAAAACTTTTAGTTCACCTCAGAGCCATGCAAATGTCTCTAAAGCCAACCAAGAAAATTTTATCAAGTTAGCTTTATTACTTTTTGAGTTATCGTGCACGAAAGTAAACGAAATGAGAATTTTAGTTTGCTAAGAAAAGCGACGAAAAAAGTTTTGAAAATCTTCATAAATTATAGAGAACAATACAATAGAACAATGAAACAATAAAATAACCCAATCGACCCCTTTTGTTTGCTCGGGGTAAAACCCTATAATTAACAAAACGTTTTGTTTAATTATCGCGTTCTTTGCATATTTTTTGGAAAAACAATATTCAGGATCGCTTAGGGAGATACATTTAAGTTTGCATTGTCGGCGTTGTCACACGTTGTCACACATGCAATTTGACTGTATGGCAATCATTTTACGACACCATTTCACTGATTTCGCAAGTCTTAGGGTGCCGGTTACCTGAGATTTAACGAAGCGAGGGAGGACTTTGAGGTTTTGATATAAGTCTTTATGACACCAAACAAACACATGCTATTGTTGTGGTGATTATACGACTGCCAGGATCATATGATCTGCTCATTTCAATACTTTAAAATAATCTCACGCTTCGTTGAATCTCGGGTAACCGAGCTCATGTAAACAGCCCTTAACATAACTCTCTTTGCCATAAAGTTTCTCATGCCCCCGAAAATTTTGTTGCACCAGGTTCTAGCTACTCCTCACAATGCTTGCGATATGTGATATCTGATTGGTAAAGTTGGCTCACTCCATAGCCAAAGGTGGAAAAAGGAAAGCTGCTGGGAACATAATTCTTTTTAGTTTTGCAGAATATTCTCCGGAAAGTTCAACCTTTTATGGAACTGATGAATGCTATATATATATGCTGGTTTTCATATGACACAATATGTCATAATTCGTCGTATTTCACATGTCGTAATTCGTTGTATAATTCGAATTACAACAAATTACGTTTAACGACATGTGAATTACGACAAGTTATGACAAATTATAATATTATGAAAACCAGCCTTATGTTTTAATTCACTATAAGAGCTATGAACTTGGGATGTTGAGTGATGCAAACCATTGTGTTTCAAAATGCGGAAAAATTGCACTACCACGAGGATAGCTTACGCGCAGATTGCGTCACAATACTATTATATTAACATACCTATAGAAGCGAAGAAAATGCAGGAAAATACATCTTTTATTGGCTCCAATAAAATATTCAACTACAAAAAAAAATACTGCTAATGAATGGTTGATATTTACGATCTACGACAATGGTTGGTATTTACGACATTAGTTATAAATACCATGTCTTTTACCTAGATTTTTATTGATTTCGTTGGTAATTTTTCGTAGCGGTTTGTGTTGTGGTTGAATTCGTATCGTAAAATATATTGAATTTCATCATGGGATTTTGCCGCTGACCATATATAGCAAACCCGTTGATAACCAATCGTTGGAATAGTTTTTATTCAGGACAATCAATATTATATATAATATCATTTAAACAGATCGTATTATTTATTTACTCCAAAGTATTTGTCATATGATTGAAGGCTAAAAAACTCAGGACAGAAGCGAATATCTCCTTAAGTATGATTGATGTACTCTAGTCTATTTATACCTGTTTTGCCTTTCTAAATAAATACGAAGTAATTAAAGTAGAAGAAAAGGAAAATTGGGGAGGGTTTAGCAGCGAATTAACCAGTGGGCGAACTTATGACTGAAAACGGCAACGTCAACAAAGACAGTAAAAAATTCAAATTTGCAAGTAGGAGGTGGGTTTGTCGTTGTGAACAGGCCACTAATACACGACGTCTCTTAAAAACGTCTCTGCATGGAATTTTAATTATTTATTTTTTTCTCTACTATGTCTATGAGATTCATTTTACACAATTATAAGCCGTCGTCGTTCACTTTTACGTTCTAAATCATATGTTCGTTGTGAAAAGAAGTATGTAATTTTTGTTTGCATATGACGCAATAATCAAACTGTCATGTACAACATAAGGTATCATTTGTTGATTCTACAATCTTCCCGCCCCCTTCTTTTAATTTTCATACCAATGAATGACCTTGGCAATGGCAATCTTGCATGACTATTGAAAACAATATGTGGCTACAAGGATTCGTTTTTATATCCTGGCGAAGGCTGCTCATCAATGGCTAATAAATATGGGCATGGATGTTGGGCTGAAGTTTCTATTTTTACCATCGCCAGTAAGTTTTTATATAATATACAATGCTCCACTAACCTTTTGTGTGACAGCTTCACCCTGAGAGCTGATCATCGTCCCAGCCATAAAACATCCAAGTTCCATTGAAATTCCAAGAATTTCAGTTAGCTAAATATGAAAAACAAATGCATTGATCTATTACAAATCTTTTAGGCCTGTACGCCTATATGACATATAACTATATATGGTCCAATGAAAGTTCAACTCACTTGAAGAAATACAAAACAGAACGCTAAAACGCCGAGTGCTAACAACTCCAAATGGCCGTCTTCTCTACTTTGAAGATACCTTTAAATAGATAAAAATTAAAAAAGATATTTAAGGAAAAGCAAGAATCTTCTTAATTGTTTTAAACAAGATGTCTGTCCTACACATACAGCTAAAAACGCAGAAGTAACTGTTCCCTGTTGATGAAAATCCAACAGGACTGAACAATGTTGCGCTGCACCCCACGAACATAGTTGTAACCGAACTATAGCATCCAATGTTGTGGGGCGCAACCAGAGAGTGGCTACCAGAGAATGGGACACCCCCCAAATAATTTGCAATGCTAAATGTTGGTCAAATAATGCTTTATTATTAGTCAAAATAATCACAGCATCTATATTCGCGGGGATCCGTCAAATACGCAACACCTGCTGATTATTTCTGAACATGCATTTAACGTTATTACAGTCGGACTACCTGTAGTAGTCGAGTCGAGGTTTCGCGATTATTATTATTTTCATTTTTTGGGTTGCATGCAGGCTTAGTCTTCCGCGCTGACAGTCGCATATTTACAGTGTGTCCACTGTGTTAATATAGCTCTAGTATACAATTATTGCATGTCTGAATAATTCTTGTTATTATATACACAAGCGCCAGATATGAGGTATGCTGCAATTTCATTGGTTGGCTACTAGACAGATATTAGCTCATATCTGTCTAGTAGAGAAAGTAAACAAAATGGCTGAAAGATTTGGGAGGTTGAGTGAAATAGAAATGCAAGCTTTAGTTGATAATATCACACCAAAATGCACCGAAAGGGCGACAAAGTTTGTGTTACGGCTATCAGCTCATATACGACTCGAGTTCGCAGAATAACTGTTAAATATATCACGCGAAAGCCGTTACATTTTAATTCTTCCTCGTTTTATAATGTGGCGAATCTCTGAACGCCATGATTTTATTTGTTTTGCCATTCTGAATTCTTAATTTCGCGAGCTTTTGCTGCCGCAGTGCTGCGTACTTCGTTCAGTTTAATCGAAAAAATCAATATCCCTCGGTATGACGTCACAACTGGTGAAAATATGAAATTTAACCGGATATTGAGATTTACTTGTAGGGTTTCGACCGAATACAGTATGAATGTATAATAATATAGTTAATTAGCCTCTCTCACGATGACGTTTTGAGGTACTTTCAATTTACTGAAATGGGTTTAAAAATTATGTTTAAACATCAAAAGCAATTTTTTTAGAATAAACAGACCATTTGAAGAATAAATTCAGCCTAAGATTAAAGACAGTCGCCGTTACCAAGTCTTACACTCACGGTTTTTGAAAAAAGTACCCCAAAAATGGCGGCATATTCGTCATCGTGAGAAAGGCTAATTGTGCTCAATACAGTGAGTGTATGATTAAACTACTGAACATAGGCCTGCAGTTTGAACGAACGGGCAGTGAAGAGCGGAGCAGAGCAGATATAACTTTTAAAGCAATTTGAAATAATGTGTCCATGGGATGGTGGTGCTTTGTACAACATCCGTAACCTTTCCCAATGTTACTCAACTTCCTACACCTATATCATTTAGATAAAACAATTTTACTAGTGGCTGCCTATTTAAATTATTCAGGCAATACATTTCCAACAAATTAAAATTGAGAATATATGTTACTGTAAACAACACAATGACTTTTCGAAAAGTTAAACAGAAAAAACATTGAATAGGTTTCCCTTTGTTCCAAGAGTGACTCTAGCTTATATATTGTAAAGTTAAAGGTGCCATTAAATATTTATTTCTCAGCGATATTTTGACTGCCTACAATTTAGAAAAAAAAACCTGCTTACCATTAGCATTTTAATGATATTCAAAACTTTATTTTGTCTATAACATTTGCAAAACGCCCGAAGATGAAATTAAGGACATTTTGTGACGTTCTTAATCAGGTTAGAAATACGTTCCGTGCGATTCTACGAGGTTGAACTGTACTCAACCTCCGTCGCAGGTACGAGGTTGAACTGCACTCACTAGGCTGTGCACAAATTACGGCTTGACCTGCTGAAAGAGAACTTCTGTTTGATAAAATCTGGTATTTCTTTAAAGTGGCAAAAATTTGACTACTTGATTTTCCCGCGTTGCCCTTAGGCAATAAGCTATTCTTATACATTGCCAGGTGGGAAAACTGATCTTGGAAAAGACGACAATAAGTTTTACAATTTAATCGCATGAAACATTACCTTAAAAATTTACCCAAAAAATACTTGGACACGAGGTACCCAAACATAAGGACACCAAGTAGGGCGAGCATCAGTTCAATCATCAGCCAGCCGGCAGGAACTGTCTCCTCTAAAACAAAAAATACAGCTCAATTTGTAATAATCGGACACTTCAGATTGAGCCAACGTCTTCTAAATCTATCGAACATACAGTGAACATCATTATTTCGTGGTAGTTGTTTGACAAACCCTTTTTAGTATTGTTCGGGATAGCAAAGCAACCTGTTACCCAGGTTTTACATTCGCTCGCCCCCGCAGGAGGGTGCAAAGCTGGAAGGCAAATCGAGATCGAACTTACAAAAATTACAGAATATGTCGGCCTAAGCACTTGCAACCAGAGGGATTTTGTAGTAAACGATGCATGCATGTGTTCCAAAACCACGCACAGATTATTTTACCTCAGAGTGGAGATTTTCAGGGAATAATTCGCCAGGGTCAATCGACGCGAAATTTCAGCTTTAGGAAGCATATAAATTAAATTCTGGAAGCAAAATTTGGAAACTATGTACGACAATGTACGACAGAGCAGTCAAAAAGTATTGTCGTTAAGGAAGCTACAAGAATATTATGATAGGTCAAAATTTGCTTTTGGAAAATAAAAAACGTTTAAAAATCGCGCCCTGTCTGTATGTAGCAATACGCGAAATAGTTCGACTGCTGCTTTTGAATTGTGAACAATCGGGTAGAAATAATATACTCCAGCAGTCGCAATTGAAAAGAAAAATAGGTGAGAAAAAATGCTCATGGAAGAAAGGCCGACACACACCGGACGTGATCCGCCAACGCGATGCTTGATCGTGTTATATAATTATGGTATTCTTGATAATTAGTGAAGGATAGCACATTTTGACCTGGCTGGAGCCCATTGCTCTCGAAATCTCCTTCCAAAATTGAATTTATTTGCTTCAAGAAACAGAAAATTCGCATCTCGTAGGCGAATCGCGAATTTCTACTAGGCGGAATTTTTCAATCGGATGATTTTTTTAATCTAAAAATTCAGCCTAGTGGAAAACCAACTGAATCGCTTTCCGCGGCGAAGCAAACTATGTTTTTACTTCAAGAGAAAATGATAATGCTGCAAAGATATATGTACAGTATATTGTACAGTATATATTATGTACCTGAATGTCTAATGCCATGTAAGAGATCGTGCACTAAACCAGACTTTATGACTCTTGCGCTTCGGGTACCGTGATGTCCAGCCAATGCAGGAAGAATAGCGATAAGAAATCCTAAATGAACATCTTGCATGATTAAAATACCAAGTAACGGACCTGCGTAGTCGTCGCCGTTAGTATGATCTGCGAAAAAATAATACAAAAATTAGTGATTTTAACAAAGAAAAAAAACTTTACACAATACACACGCCTGTATTTTAAAAGCTCACTCAAACTCAAACTCATTGAGTGGGAGATCTCAATCCTCTCATAAAGTTTTCATGGCGGTATTTCCTGTAATACCTGTCAGGGGGATTTTTACCAACCCTCAAAGCTTTCAATCGGCCTGTAGTGATGCACAAACAAGTTTGTCCGTTTGGAAAAAACTAAGTTCTCCTTTACAGACAATGGATCATAGATCAAGGTTAAACTTTTACGAAGTATGATTAATCAATTAATAAATTCTAGAGGTTTTTTAAAGAGTCTTAATTTCAAGTGGAATTATACACACTTCAAATTCAAGCCGGGAACAGTTGATGAACAGTCAACTAACAGTCAACTATACTGTAGGTCCTCTGGCAGGAATCGAACCTAAATACGCTTTTGCGGCAATGCCGGTGCAATGGTCTTTCCACTGAGCCACAGAGGTATGTACATAGCTGGCAAGAGCAAGCGTGGTTAATGTGTATAAGATGTTAATGCCGGGAATAGGTGAGGGTAAATGCATTATGATTTTTGGCACTTCACTCGATGTAGGTAAATTTTAGAGGTTTTTAAAGGGTCTTAATAAATACCATTAACATCCTCCCTCGCTTATCTTCACTCGTATTCACTGTTGACATATGTATAGCTACAGTAGCTATATCAACAAGGATAATGCATTGCATCTTTTAAAACATGCACGTCTTCACTGACGTTGTTTTCACTGTATCTACTTTATCTTCTACTTTTGTATCGCTCAGTTAAAAAGGAAAGGCCAATCGAAACGTGTCTCAATACTGTAACTTACGTTTTCCGCCACCAAAGTCCAGCGACGCCTTTTCTGAGGAGGAAATAAACTTTGCTACAAGTGGTGTGCTGGACAAACAAAGGCATGCCGCAACAAATGAACTTTGTTGGGTGGGAATACCAAAAAATGATCCCCATACGATGCCACAAAACACCACCGTGACCATTATGAACGTGCTTCCGTAAATTGCCACCTTCCATACCTAATAATACGAGCTCTTTTGTGAGTGAATAAAATTTTACAATTCAGAAAGATTGTGCTCTCCTCGTGTAACCACCCAAAATGTAACATTTAAACAATGGACCCAGAGAATAAATTTAAACAAGCTACTTCGTTTCCAAGTGTCTTCCCTATAAATACCCCCCGAATGAGCATTCTTCCTAATTGGTCGAAAAAACGACTTGTTTGTGTCTCTGTAACGTATATTGGATTGTAGCTCACCCATTTTGTTTTACATAAATTTTGGTCCAAAGTTTGGTTACAATCGAGAACAATGAATTATTTTCAGTCCTAAAGACCGTTGCATTGGTAACTTAATCAAAGGTAAAAGATTTTTCTGACTACGAGATGACTATTTTCAATAGTAAATGCACTATTGCTGAAAAATTCTATAGAATATTCTATTTTTTAACATTTGTAGTTGTGCCTTGATCATTTTTCATTTGTTGCAATAAATCTCGAGCATTTTTTATCAAGAAATAGAGGATGCAGCTAGGCTGTGCAAATGAATTAATACAACATATATAAATAAGGTACACTTAATGCCTTCAAGGGAAATTCATAAGTGATTGATTCATAAGTAATTTCTTCTAGAAAACAAATGGTTTTACTGAAATAACCACTTTTAAATTATATTTGCTAGACAAGTTTCTTTAGGTTTGATGGTAAAAATAAATTAATTTGTTTTTTCAGTTGAAATTAAACTGAATATAAGAACTTACCTTTTTGATTCTATCAGGAGAGAATTCTAGTCCCAGTGAAAACAAGATAAGAAAAACACCAAACTCCCCAAGTGTTTCAATTTGAACCACAGACTAAACATAAAAAAATTTGGAATTTATGTTAATAACAGGCAATCAAACCAACCAGTGTGTTGTTTTTTGAATCACTAGAACTTCTGTTGATAGAAGGCAATTGAATGGTCTTATTGATTGATTGATAGTCCATTGACTATATTATGATAGTCCTTAATGTTGCCTCAGTTTTCAAATTCTTAAAAGTTTCTTGTAGTGCTCCCGCATGTACGCAAGTCTACATGGTCTATTATTATGAGTAGACTTGTGTACATGCGCATACATGATCTAACAATATTATTGCTACATTGCTACAAACCAAACAACACAAAATAATATATATTCTTACATGTCATAATTAGCAACTAAGTGTATAATAAAATAATAGCTACAACCATTTTATTAGTGCAAGACTCACCTGAATAACATTTATGCCAGTTGGACCTAGAATCATGCCTGCAAGAACAAACCCAAACATTGTAGGCATGTGAAAAATGTTGCAGACCAGTGCAAAGAGAAATGAAACAATTATGATGCTAATAACATTCTGTATGAGGTGCCTATCCTCATGTGGCAAGGTTGGATCATTTGGTTTTGACAGAACAAAATAATTACTGCCTGAATCGATTAACGTAGTCATCACATATTTGTTCTGATCATTTAATAGCTGGCTGTAATTGTTTTCACTACTGTCCATGATATCTCCTTCTTCATTCTCACTCATTCTGAGAACAACCTCATATGCTCCTCCAACTTGCTTCGAATAGGCATTTTCTTCAAGAGAGTTTTCAAGTTTATCTGCAGCATTAGAAACATCACTTAAAACTTCTTCAACATACTTTTGCATTTTTGAAGAATGGGAATTAGTGGTGTCATTTTGTTTTTCTTTCTCTTTAACAAAGGCATCCAACTCCTTTTCGGCTTTCAAAATCCCATTAAACAACTCTTGTTCACGGCCAATCTCATTTTGAAAATATGTAATCCTTGACGCAATCCCTCCTTTTACATCCTGGATTGATTTGTAATCCTCCTTGAGCAGTTTGCTCAAAAAGTTGAAGGAAGAAAATATTGCATATTTAGTGTCATTCAATTCCCTTAGAAAAAGGTGAAGGGTTGTGACCTGGGGAGCCAACAAATCTTTGACTCTGTTCTTATCACCAGCTAAACGACTCAACTGCCATGTAAATCTTTTTTGGATGTCAAACAACGTGCTCACACTCTTACAAGATGATTTACCTTGCCAGGATTTGAAATCTTTAATCTGATCAACAATAGGATTTGTGGATTTGGTGACAGCCACTAAGCAAACAGTAAGCCAAGCTGATATCAAAAGTTGAAAATGCATTGCAGCCTGTTATAGGATACTCGTTACAGAATTGAGTATCATGTATTATAAAAATGCCTTATTGATTAGGCCTGGATTATCAAATACATCGTCTTGCCTTGATTGCAATCTGTAACGTGGCATGGTAATTAGCAGACAGTTCAGAATTTCAATTCTTGTCTGTTGGCGCTGTGCCTATCATTCTCATATCTTCGTTCGGGCGACTTTTCTACAAAATATTTTCATTCTCAAATTGTTTCCATAACAGTCAGTACATTTCAAAACAAAAACAAGTAAACAACAGGACAAAACGTAAACAAAATAACAAATTGAAAAGAAATTCTAATTTCAAATTCACAATGATTTGATGTTTCCACTTGAATCTCAGGGGAAATCTGGTAAAAACAAGGTAAATGAAGTGTTTCTGATTACATAATTTCATAATTCCATTTCGCGTTCACAAGAGCCATCGTAGGAACAGTTAAACCAAAATCTCCAATCTAGTTTTTATTTTTTAGTGTTTTTTAGAAAGTCTACAAGACTTTCAATAATTCAATAATTATCTGTTTCATTTCGATTGAAATTGGCATTTCTATTTACTTCCCCCCCCCCCCCAGAAAGATGCTTTTGCTTTTGGCGCGAAAGTCATAAAATGGCGGATGATTTGATGAGTGGAACTGAAGGTGATCAGGACATTTTAACATTGGACGAGTGCGTTGACGTTTTGCAAAAAGGTACATAATCTGTACCTTGGTAAAAACTTGATGATGCTGGCATGCATTAAAGTTTTAGTGCATAAAATGTGTAATTTCAGTGCAAAATGCGCATGTAATCATCAGTCTGCAGTTTGACATAAGGGGTTTAAATAATTTAATACATGAACCATAGGCAGCCCAATGGCGAATGGTTTTATTTTTTATTCCAAATAAGAATGCACGCTTTGATTAAATAGACACATTATGTCATTTATTTACATGCTTATGTACTTGCAGTGGCGTAGCCAGCCTGACGATTTAGTCATGCTATGCAAATTTTATGTTATTAACATTATTAATTTCTTTAGAAATTCATTGTTTTCGCAGTCAATTACACCAAAAAATTAGCATAGCATGACTAAATTTTCGGGCTGGCTACGCCACTGTGTACTTGTCTATAATTTACATGCAGGGGCGTAACTAGAACGATAATTGGGGGGGGGGATTATTCATATATTCAGTTCTGCCCGACGGATTTCTATTGTAAGCTATTGCAATTACAAAAGAATCTGTAGGGCAGAACTGGAAATATAAATATTCACACCCCCCCAATTATCGTTCTAGTTACGCCACTGTTTACATGCTAATAAGCCTAATATGCGTGTCTGACAATGTTCAGGCAATGTATTTTTTGAATATCCTAAGGTATGCAACTTCAATCACAATATTGACATGTACAATCTGAAAATACGTCAATTTATATGTGCACATACCTACCTTATGATATATTATACTATATAATACCTACATTGCGTAAACCTTGTCATACACACATATGAGCATGTAAACTATTTTGATTCTTCTGCATGAAAATAAATTCAATAGAGAAACATACCCCCTTAGCGAAACATACCCTCTCTGTCATGAAACTTCTGGCTTCTACACTGCCCCTTAATGGTTCAAGTTGTCTTTTCTAATGCACCTGTATTGTCTGGACAATGTTGTGACAGTGCATCCCAAAAATGTGATTGTTAACAAGTTTGAATAGATTTTTCACTAAAATTCTGTCCATCATCCCCATTCCGAACTTAAAACTTGGGCTTATCTGATATGTTAATTGATTACTTGTGAATACAAATTTTGCTACAGCAACTTGATTGACCCTGTTTTGTTTTGAACTGAGCAGAAGAAGCAGTGCGGAAAAAGCCTCCAGCTTGCAATGATGGTAGTTCAGTATTGGATATCTTAAAAAGTAAAGCTGAGCAAGAAGGATTAACTGAAGAACATATCACTCAGCTTGTCAAAGTTTCCACAAGCAAGAAATTTAGTAAGTAAAGCTGTGTTGAAGAAACTTAATTAGAAACTTTGTCAGCCTCTTTGTTCAGCCTGAATTTTTAATTGGTCAGGCTCTGAATTTTCAGTACCTCCCATGCCATTAAACATTGCCCCTAGATTGTGCTGATGATCAATGAATGAGTACTACCATAGGTACTACTAATTCAGCTGATGCTTGGTATTACTCTAAAACCAACAAAAATATCAGTATATAATCCAAAAATATCAGTATATAATCTAGTATGTTGATCACTGTGTTATTCCAATAATAGCTGATGGAGTTGTCAATCAGATTATCAAGTGTTTAATTCCAAGAGATGAAATTACTGCTGATTGTGTTGTGGATCTTATATCAAAATTGTGTGCTAATGCCATCAACACTAACATCCAGGTAATGCTTTGACCATTCTTAATTCCATCCTTGCAGTCATGAAGGAAATTGTTTCATAGGCTGCATATCTGGCTATCAACATTTATAGAATTGTGAACATTTATTTACCATTTTTTCAAAATACATACAATATTTGGCATTTTGCAGAACAACTCATCTGCACAGATATTTTTCTAAATTCTGTAATATTATAAACTTAATGTATGCTCCCGAGGGAAATAGTGAGTTTTGTTTTCCCTAGAGTGTGAACATTTCCCTGGACGAAGTTAAGAGGTTGCTTCTGAAACATTCTAAATCAGAACTGCTTTGTTTCAGGTCTAGATAAATCAAAAACGAAAAAATCCACATGTTTGTCGTATGCTTTTAATCGTGAAAATTCATTATTTATTTTTCTACATTTATACAGATGTCATTTCTCAAATGGCTTATAATGGCGTATGAATGGATCAATGACAAAGAGACAGTTCATTGCTTGTATGGGATGCTGTTTCTTTTCTTGGATAACGAGGCTCTGGTATTAGATGTTTATTACAGTTTCATGTAGAAACATTCATTTTCGTGTTCTTCTGTCGCGCATTCCTTTACACTTGCAATTTTTGCTGCGATTTTATGTGCAATTTTCTTCTTTTGATAGATGTGAACGAGTAATTAGTTAACTAATTCACTTGTACACATCTATCAAAAGGAGAAAATCGCAGCAAAAATTGCAAGTGTAAAAGGGCCTTTACAATTGTATAGTGTATAAGAATACGCGCCCGCTTTTCATTCGTCTGTTACAATTCGACGAGTAAAATTTTTTCCGACTCTTTGATATCTGTGCGCGTGAAAGGTCTCGAATTTGTGTCTACAATTAACCTAGCAAGCGTAATCTTTACGCGAAAATATTTCTTTCTTTATTATGCATCATAACTATAGTATTGCATCATAACTATATGCATATACAACTGGTTTTTTATGTCATACAGTAATTAGACGATTACCGCAAAAGAAGAACTAAAGAGGTTTTGCAGCAATTATAAGTTTTTAACAAGTTATGTAATGAAAAATTTGATATGTACAGCTGCGCGATTTCTATTTAGTGTGACGTAAAATTTTACTTCACTTTAACAGTTTAACTACTCGAGTTTTCCATAATTTAGTGTACCTGTATATATAGGCCCTCATATTCAATTAATGTTAAATTCACTCCAGTGAAGAAATTTGTTTAACCTTTTTATACCATTTTTTGGATTATTAAACATAATCTCATCTGGAATATCTTCTATGAATGATGTCTAAAGATAGTTATGGTTAAGGGCCTGAAACGTTTTTTTCTTCCAGTACAACAATGAATTCGAAAATTCTGTTTTCAAAGATATTATATCTTGTTTCTGTATAAAAGCAGATGTATTTTTCCTCATTAACTCATTAACTTCTAGACGACAGACATTTGGTTGAAAAATCGAAATTATCGTGAATCATCCGTTTAATTACACAACGCATTCACTCTATTTAGCATGTCTCTCTCACATGTGTAGCATCGACCGAATTACGACTCTGAAATGAATATCACATGCAATCTATATTTCTTTAGTGTCCTTACATATGTCATTTTCTGTACCTCATGACACAAAAAGAGGATGGTAAGTTGCTAATATTTGTATTCAAATTAATACAACAGTTGCTGGCTGTAATTAGCTTTTCTTATTACGACGAATATGGCGTCATTTTTTGGTACTTTTTTTATAATTCATTCGCGTAAGACCTCTGAAGTGGGGTTTTATTTTGGCCTAAATTTATTCTGCATGGTTTTTTGATTCTTGAAAATTGCTCTTTCTATTGTTATAACTGTTTAAAGATCAGATTAAAAATACCCAGAGGCGTAGCTAGGGCAGGCCCGGCCCCGCGGGTAAAATTTCACAAATTGCGGATATTAGCATCATGAGAAAAGCTTATTTTTTACCGAGCTAGTATACATAAGCTTACAAGGGTCGTCATCAAATTACTGAATGGTTCACCTAGTGGAATATTTATAATTATTTATTTATTTATTTATTTATTTATTTATTTATTTATTTATTTATTTATTTATTTATTTATTTATTTATTTATTTTATTTATTTATTTATTTATAATATTTTTTTGCAAACAACATATAACATTTACCAAAACAGCACGTTTCATTCGAGAAACGTAACGTTTGAAACGTGAACAAACACGAAACATTGACCAGCTAGTTGAACGTAATGGTAGTAATTAAGAGAATGATATACCTTTCAGCTGATTTTTCCATTATCTTCTTTTTTCAAGTCAAACCCTTCAGAATAAGGAAGTTATTAGATCTGCTGGGAAAAGTGGTACGTTATATCGTATAACTTGTAGCTATATGTTATTTTGCATGCTATACAGCATGCATCTGTAATAATTGGATCTATAATTGTTCCTGTTTTTTCCAGGGACAACAATCATATCTGATTGGTCTTCTATCGTTATATAAAATTCACGCACCTTACTTGGTTTCAGTCAATGTTCCAAAGATCAAAAAGGTACAATTCTTATAATAATATTAGATATAATAGATTGTTTTTATAAACTGTATTTATAGACCTCAAATTCCCGAACCTGTCGAGGAAACCTTGTACGTATGATGCACATGAGAGAATTTTTTAAAACAAACTTCAACAACCATCGCACGAAAATTCAGTTAGTCTACGTGTACTGATACATAATTCGTTCCTTTAAATCACTGCTCATTTATTCACTCTTGTTTTTTCATTTGAATCACCACATCTACCCATGCAGCTAGGAGACGGTCTTCGAGATCTCTGTTTTTCAGTCACGTCAGTTGAATAAAGTTGCTGCTTGGACTATCTTCCTCTTTTCCGTATTACTCAGCTTTAAATTTGCCTGTCGTTGTCATATTTTTTCTTTTTCATCATCTTTATGGGATATTTCTCATTAAAGGTCGAGAGGAGGTCCTTCGAAACGTCGAAACATTGAACATGTTGGAGCATTAGACCTGCATGTCATGATGTTTGCATATCAATGTTTGTATTTTATTGCATTGAGCTTTCATCTTGTAGGCGTTTTTCAAAAGAAAAGATACCAAATGGTTAGACATTGTTTGGAATGTTAAATCTGCATCAAGAGCTGACAAAACTGAAGAAAAATTGTCAACAATGGGCAATGATCCTATCATAGGTTTACCGGTATGTATACATAGGGTATATTTTATAAAAGGATATAAGTTAGATGAATGTTTTACCTCAAATATATCCCATGGTAGGAATCATATCTAATCGTAGTGATCGTGTAAGATGGAAAAAAACCGCGTATTTACTTCCTTTGAATTTTTTTTCTGTGTTCAGTCTTAGTTGTCGAGATGTTTTTAAAAATTTACTGGGAACCTTGCATTACGACGTCATTTAGCTTCTCAATTATATATGATGCATGATGCACACTAGAGGCATTCAGAACATAGAGCATTAACTGTTAATTCAACATGTATGTTATTAAGTAAATTTATGACTTCAAATGCATGGTTTCATCAAATGATGGATCGGTAAATAATTTCATGGCCTACATGATTTTACAACTAATACAATTGAAATTCAATGTTGTGCGGAATTCGACCAATATAAAAACTGAATTTCAACGGTTATAACAAACTATGACATATGAAAACCAGCCTTAGACGTTCTCCCCCTTTTTAACAGCCGGCAAAAAGGCGGCGAAAAGACGTCATCGTTCCCTCATCGCAGGGATATGTACAAAACATTGGTGATGATCTACAAAACAAGAAAATAAAAATTGAACAGATTTTAACTTTTAAAGATTTCCTGACCCATATTGATAAACTGGAGGTATGGATGATCACTTGAATCTTTATTCTTCAACTTGGTCTTGGTTGTTTATAAAGAAATAGTATGGACTCTAATATTGTGATGGTGCTACCCTGAGTTAAAAACATGGGGCAAGCTGAAAAATTAGTTTGACTATCCACGTTAGGAATCTATATCTAACCTTCGGTCTAGTAGCAACTTCGGTTAGACCGTGGACGTGGTCAAGGTAATTGTTTAGCTTGCCCAGTTGCATTGATTAAGAAAGGTCTTTACGTTGGTAATTAAAAACAAAATTTTTGTGTCACTCAATGAGTATTAGTAAGCTTTTTGAATACAACCAAACTCAGCCAAAGTTTTATATTCTCATGAAATACGCGTGATATCAACAACGAAATTTAGACACAATCGACAATCGCATTCACACATATCTCATTGTGTGTTTTAAAACGGGTAATCTCGATCGGTTGATATATTATATTACATTTAAGTTCACATTTTCACTGTATTGTTCTTAATTATAGTTTCCAAATCAAATGGGAAGTATTCTGGAATCACGTTATCTTCAACATCTTCTTGTAGTCTCGCAGGATGAAGCTGCTGTGATGCGGTTAGACTTCTGGTTGCAACAAGCTCTTTATGAAGGTACAATATATACACTCATATATAATCACGTGAACTGTGCTGGAACTCATAGTAGTCTGCTTTCGATACTGTTCCATTATTTTGACGACGTGATTTGAAATTGACCGTGGTTTAAAAACGAGCGTCATTGGCGACTCCAGATTTTAATTAGCTTCTTCGTACCAAAAAGAACAATTATGAGCACGTGACAATTGCATGTAAAACCAATTAACTACGAATTTTCCAAAGCTACCTATATTAAACAATGTGTACAATAATGAATTGTACATATCAAAACAAGCTCGCAGACTATAAAATAAACATGAATAATGGACCTGTCTCATAATCATGTCAAACGCGAGAAACGAATGTCAAACAAAGTTTGATTGGCTTCGAATAACTAACTAGCGAAGTAAACATCGTGTAACAAGCTCGCCATGTTTGACCTCATCATGAGAAAGGTCCACTGAAGAAAAGTAACTCCGAAAGTTACGAAAATGTTGTCCTTATTCGGAGCTAAACGCCCGATCCACCTTTGTATCCAATAATTACGTTCGTTAATTAAATAATTTGCGCTCGTATACAATAGCTTCTTTTAAGTGGATTATTTTTTCATCGACTTCGACTTAGCTATAAAAATGGTAACAACACTTATTTATTATATCGTTTTTAAAACAGTTATTTCTAGTAAATATACTCAATATAACGCTTTATACAAATTTATATTTTAATTACTAAATTTACCTGATGTTTTTATTAAATGTAGAGTTGATCAGCGCTCCATCAGGCGTGACAAGTGAACGAGTGACTAAATTCTTGCAAAACCTTTTAAGCTTTGTAAACTTCTATCAGGTAAAGTGATTAAGATACACATTAATACTATACTGAACTGTTTTTCTAACAAAGCTTATTTCTAACATTGCACATATATACAAGGCCAAATCGCCATGAACGTTGTTCTAAATGGAACGATGACAAGAATTGAACGTAGGAGGGCTCTCGCTTCCAAGCCTCGGAAAATAACTGCTAAACTACACTGCACTGTAATTCATTTATACTCCCCTGTATTATACTCATAGATTCATCACTTTAGTGCACAATACTTCATCGTATAGACTATACCGTACTGTTATTTCATAGTTCACTGTACTATAACGCACTACACTTTTAAAATACACTATTATACAATGTTGAACTCTCTTGTACTGCACTGCTCTGAGCTGAACTGTATTGTATTGAACTGTACTGCACTGTACTAGGCACAAAATTTGCGAATACTGTGAGGCTGGTTAAGCAAGAGTAGGATTAATGTACACACACAAGTCCTATGGAGTCCATATTTATCAAATCATCGCGTTATATTGTTATTTTGGCAGAAGCCACTCTCATCTCTTGAGTCGTGTTTGACGCAGTATTTGCTTACGTGGAATGGTGTGGACTATCAAACATTGATATTTTTACTCGTATCGCATCTTCAAATTAGACCATTTGAAAGTAAGTGTCTGTCACCTGAGACCTTAACTGCTCTTAAATCGTTAACACAGAATTTTTTTTTGAGAAAGTCGTTCATTTGCGTTCTGTTTTATTGAAGAATTGAATGATTTGATACTCGAGCCTATTCGAAAGTTGTTCTTCTGTTCATCACTGGAGTTTAAGGTATGCAATTGTACTCTATTAAGTAGTTGGAGCACGTTTGTTAACGTTATCCTACTCATGCCTATTACACTTTCTCGTCTAAAACATTTCTAAACATCCCCAAAAGAACTTCATTGAAGAAATAAGATTTCGTAAAATCGTAAAAATTTTGAAAGTCTCTGAAACGCGCACAGTGGCGGATCCAGGGTTAGGCAGAATAAATTAAAATGCTTCATTTTAAATTCAAAATACCTTAATAACAACGCAATTGGTCATGCATTTGTAATGAATATTTTTATTTAAAAATCTACCAATCCGATTACGATTTCGAGCTGTAGTGATTTATTTTGCCTAACCCAGAGTCTGCAACTGAACGCGCAGTGGTAATTACTCCTGCACTTTTCATGAAAATTACTTCTGAAAGTCTCGTGTGTATATCTCCTTTCCAAGACCTCTTACAAAAATATATAATTATGCTAGGTGTTCTTTTTTAGATTTTCTTCGTACGACCTTCAAACTGCATTTAGCACCAAAAAAAGTGGATACAATTTTGTTCCATCGTTAATTTTTATACGTCTTCCTATAGCACTTTCTAAAACTCCTGTCTGTACACAGCCATAAGTCGATTCCAAAAGTGTTTTGAAAGTTAAATATGGTGCCGGGAAATTTTTTTATTTCTAGTGCCAAGTTATTAACTGTTTTACCGAAATGCTGTTAAATCTTGCACGTTCTACTTTATCAAACTCTAATGAAGAGGAGGACAAGGAATCGCAAAGTACTTCAGCGACGCCTTTCAGGTACGCATTTGAAGATTATATAGTGTGCAGTTACGAGAATTTTTTACTGCTTTGCATAAAGACAGTAAATAATACCACGGCTTGCAGCAATGCAAACAAATCCGCGATTAAGTGCCATGCATAAAGCTCGTAAAGCACGTAACCAGAACAAGAATGCGTAATCAATCGAATAACAAACACTTTGATGCACTCGGGGGGTGCGCAGGCAGAATATTTTATGCATAAATGTCTTCTGTTGTTTCATTGCCTTACATTGTTTTACTGTTCATCCGGGAATATGCACTTTCACAACCGTCTTAATCCCTATATTATATATTTTCACTTACTCGAGTTATACAGTTCGCTCATGAGCTACATTTTCTCTTCAGTGTAAATGATCTTTCGACGTCTGAACGAGGAACACGGAAAATATGTTTAGTAATGAAAGAGCTTGTTGGGTTCGTGAATAAAATTTGCACTGTTGCTTTTCAGGTGAGAACGTTGGCTTAAAACGTCTATTTTACCTCTCATGCATGGAAAACTCGTTTAGTTATAATATAGACACATGCACCATGGTCAGAGATATTCTCAGGCAAAGTTTAATCAAACCAATTTGCTGTTCTTAGTTCTTGGTTGTGTAAACTAATAATAACCGTAGGATATCGTTTCATTTTTTTCTCAGGTGGACTCAGATAACATTCTTCTACAACATTGTGCTTTATGTTTCTTTGAAAAGGTATGTTTTTGTATGATTGAATAATGCAGCATGGCTTCGTATAGTTGTAATGTACTGCATATATGAAATATTTTAGGTGTCCGCACTACATTGTCATTATCCTGCCATTAAGTTTGTTCACATTCCATTGGGAGCCATCGTCTACCGTCTTCTCTTTGCTTCGAATCCAATGGCCGTGTCAAGGCTTTGCAATATTATTGTAAAGTAAGTTAATCTTGCATTCTAAATTGACCATAACAAAAAAAGATGGCGGATGTACATTTTACCAGAATGCATTGTGGTCGGAAATCGTTTAAAAAAGCGAAATGACGTCTTTTAAAGGACAGACATAAAAAAAGGAAGTTATTTTCTTCGCTGTGTTAAAATTTCACGTCATTAGGAGTTTTTCTTGCCTTCTTTTTTCAGTAAATCATTCTTAATGCCCGCAATGCATTATGGTAAAACGTACATGCCGCCATCTTTTTCGTTACGGTCAATTATACTATATAGGTAAACAATACTCGCGTAGTTAGAACGTTTACTGAAAATGATGCTATTAAACACTTGTGTATGGTCTTCTTCATAAAAATAGAGATTGTTCAGTGATGCCTGTTTTGACAGTTCTTATCGTATCTCATTTCTTGTACGCATCTCACGACTTTTTAGCTATACCCTTTTTTTAAGTGTAGCTGATTGTGCATTCGAATTTTATTTGTGTTCGGCCATGGTGAATTAATAGTAAATATTGCCAGGAAATTAGGCTATTGTAGATCTATAGTGGTCTTTTTTCCGTTTATAGTCTGTTATGTTCGTCGAAAATGCACTCGAAAGATAGTACTAAGTTCACACTTATAAAAGTATTTATTGAAGTGATTAGTTATTTAGGGTCCATTCATGCTCGCGCATTTACAATTTACTGTTTAAAAAATCGACGTGTGGAAATTCACGCACTGTCTGCAATGCCCAGCATCCTGCCTGCCGGGGTTGACGACGCCTGTATATATATGCAATATAATCAAAATGAGGTTATATTGATAGTTGTCGCGTTGTAAAGCCGTATGCGTTTAGTACATTAGGTTTCGCTGCTCGTGTTGCAAGGATTATCCACTAACTACATTATGTGTATATTTTCAACATATTTCAGTTACAAAGAGGCCTTCGAATCCCTAAAGAAAGCTCAAGAAGACAGTGCCGACGGAGACGTTTTGGATGGTTTTGAGAGTCTCAAACGATTTAATCAATATATTTTGGATATATCGGATACGATATGGAGAAACAAAGCCTTTGAAGACCGAGCCAAGTCCTTATGCTACAGCATTCCAAGGTAACAGGTTGACAACTATAGCTAAAGTGTTGACGTGTGTCGTTTGACGTCAGAATAAAGAATACTTTCTGATTGATGTTTTGACTGGTTCACAAAGTTGAATATCTTTTTCCATAAATATTTTCTGGACCGACAGAAGCCATATTTTGTAAAGGAAGGTTCTAAAACGAACAGCGGTTCAGAAGCAGAAACCAAAACAATGCATGGATTAAAATAGCGCAAACCCAGCTTTGAACAACTGGCCTCGGCGCGCGGCAGAGATATCGTCCCAGGGCCTGCTTTATACACGTCTCAGCGCTTTGTCAATGATACACATTATTCTACCGAATTCAGAAAGCATGAATTTCGTCCGTATTTGCCTTGTTAGCCAATATGTAAGATTCCGTGCATGGCGTTACTATGGAGTCTGTCAAGTGACGGGGACAGTTCATGCAGCTGCTTGACCTATTTTCGTTCATTTTTTGTTGCTTTATTTGAGTTACCGAATGCTTCAATTTGCTCTAGGCCAGTAACAGATTATTTGGGAGTCTCGCACATTAACGAGCGTTTCTCGATTGTGAATCACGTGGCATTTGTCTGCATCGCGAAGATGTTTCTGGTTCAAGTAAGTAAACGAAAGCAAAACTGCATACGAATGCGTGCATGGAATATAGAAAACCAAAAACGAAAACTGCTTGGAAACAGCAAGGCTACCGATAGCTTTTAATATGTATTCGTTCCACCAAACCTAAATCATCCAAATCAAACCCAAAATTATTTCTGTTTAAGCATAGTGAATAAACCATAACATTGTTAGATACCTAATTAGTATTTTACTTTGCACATGCAAGATTTCAAAAGCCAAACACAAAACGGTTTGGGAGCCCTGTTAACGTTTTTCGAACCGTTTAGTCCATGCATGCAAGTGGCAAGGCCAAAATGAAAATATAAGTTGATTTTAAAGAAAATGCTGTAGCTATATACATAAACACTAAAAACAATTTAGCCCAAAAAACATCATCGCAGAAATTTATCTTCTTTCTATCTTTTTGTATATATACTATTTTCCCTACTTTTTTTAGACTCAAGACAAAGACGTCAAACTGAACCCCAGTTTAATCAAGGTAATTAAGGCATATACACGTAATTCTAACTGAAAGACGTATAACTGTACGTCAAAAAACTAGAAAATAAGTTACAAGAAACCATGTCACGAACCAGTATTGTTGAAACAAGTTTAGCAGGCCATTTTTTGCTGATTTTTGACAAATTTCAGAACGTATACTGTGTCTTTAAACGCGAATATCTCGGAAACTACTCGTTCAAACTTCATATGTAATATGTCAAACTTTACGTTAGACATTACTCAACTAATGGTTATTTGATTGTAATTCTTTTTAGTTCGTTTGTAAATTATGTTGAATTAAAGATAGGTACTTTTCTTTGAGACACCCCGTATCTCAAAAATATATTCACGTATAAACGGGAAAAAAGTCCAATTTTGAAATTTCGGGGTGGACTTAATGTTTATCAAATTCTCTGAAATTGCGATACATTGCACAAAAGGGTCCAAACTTTCACCTCTTTAAATGAACTTGGATTTTCAACCTCTCATTTTCTTTGTACATTCATTTTTCTGATACACCCTGCATAGTAATAAAGTTGATCAAAATCCATAAATGGTTTTAAAAAATTTTCAAAGCGTTCTTTCTATAAGGACAAAAATAATTTTTGGACCTTCTAACTCTTTTCAGGGCAAGGCAAGAAGTGTGTACTTGGAATTTTTGAACAGACAAAACCTTAATGGAGTTATTAGGTTCCTAAACACCTTTATTAAACAAAGAGTTTTATAAACTGATAAAGAATTATGGACCTTGTGCGCTATCGACTAATTTCAGATCTTGGCAACAATTAAGAATTAAAGAAACATATATTTGCTAGGCCTTTACGGATTGTGCTCGGCAACTTTTAAGCAACTTGAAAAACTGCTCTGGTTTCGAGCAGCAACTTTTGCTTTTTTGAGTAACAGGAAGCAACTTTTAGGCTTATGTTCCGTACTGCTAATTTTGCACTAATTATTACTGAATAAAATATCGCCAATTAAAATAATTATTTATGCACCTGCACAATCTGTAGAGGCCTAAAAAAGCATCCATTAGTATAATTGCAGTTTAGTTGCGAACTTCGGTAAAAAATATAGCAATACGAAGTTGGCAAATTTTGTATATTTTTTGTATTACGTGAAGAAATGTGTAAGAAAATTATAGTTACAAACTTCCGGCCGTAAGGCAAACGTGCGTATATAAATTTGCTACTTCGCATGACTATATTAGTATATATTTTCTGTACTTTACAACATTTCGCAGCCAAACCTTATAGCGATTATACAATTTTTTATCGCCTAAATAGGCAAAAACTCGACTTCTATTGCAACGTCTACGATATTTTAGTTATATTTGATTTAGCTACTCAACCTATTGATATTTGTATATAATTTATATTGTAATTAAAAATGGGCGAAATAAAAAAATAATACGCTGTAAAGAGATGAAAATATTTAAAAAACATACCACATATGTAGACTGTTGTAGTCCGAGATGGCCAATCACCATAAACCACGAGAGCGAGTAGTAAGATTGTTTCATAACGTAGCCAAATCCCATGTAAAAAGCAAAAAATACGAAAGAAAATCCACAAAAATGTAAACAGGCTTCTCTGTTTTTATGTAAAATTTGATAATAAATAAAGACCATGGATGCATTTTCGTGCACGATTTTATAGTTCATTTGATTGCAGCACGGCCAAATATTATCTCTGCATGTCTTTTTGAAAGGTTTTTGTATTTCTAAGAAAGTGAAAAACAAGTCGTATACTGAGAATTAAAGCACGACAGAGAAGACTCGAACCAATTCATCAACTTATTCAATTCAAAAGTCTTTATTTAAGTACCCAAAACAAACATTTGAGTTTACATCATGAGTATTTACATTAAGAGTATAGAATTTTAAATCTCAAAAGTATAAGAATAGATAGAAATTATGATATTAATAAACTGAGTTCTAAGATATAAAAGCTTAGATAATTTATATAAAATTGAATATATAGACATCTATTTATAATTTCGAAATACGATTGAAACTTGTCCCGAATGCCGGCGACGGTTTTCGATGAAGACGGCAAACCAGATGTTGGCATCTCTTCCCCGACCCAGATTGGAGTCATTACGTGCGTTAGAAAAGGTTGGAGTTGATTACGGAGGACCCTTCCTCACTTGACAGGGACGGGACGGACGGAGGCGAAGCGTTATCTATGTTTATTCACATGCTTAGCTACAATAGCCGTACACTTAGTGATGGTGTTTCTTTCATCAATGCCTTTACCCGAATGGTTTCCAGGAGGGGGACACCAAGCTACGTGATCAGCGACAAAGGAACTAACTTCACGGGTGCAGACCGAGAAAGAGACCAAGAAAAGATCGCATGAGGCACCATCGTTCGCCAACAGATGGAATGGAAATTTAACCCACCCGGCTCGCGCCGCACTTTGGCGGAGTATTCGAAGCATTGATCTAGAGTGCGAAAAAAGCGATCAAAGCAGTTCTAGGCGATGCTGATTAGGACTATAACCCAGTTAAAGATGGTATCGCGTACAGCAGTTGTTGTAGTTGTTTTGGAAGCGTTGGCGTAGGGAATTTGGCGTAGGGAATTTATAATTCCGTCATTATAAACGTCAGAAAGAAATGGTTTCACTTTAGGCACAACTTAAAACCTGGACACATTGTACTGTACTTATAGCCGAACCTAGAGCTAATCCTGGTGAGTGGCCGCTTGCTGGGGTGATGGAGGTGTATCCCAGTGTTACAGTGTAATAACATGTTTAAATTTTTAGTCTCTATAATTCGAAATACAAATTTAGAACTTTTTCAATCACGTAATCGTGATCGACCCAAGAACTGTCACGAGGATATTGATGAAAACGATGTTGTCCATGTTAGTTGCTTTGTGCTGAATTATCATGAATCTCTTGTTCTCAATGTCATTTGTCTTATATATATATACATTTTCTCTCTCGCACCACCTGTTCAACCCGCAACTGTCTCGACTCTCGCTAGATTACCAGATAAGGTTGAATTAATAATATTGAATTAACTAGCTTCTAAATATGCGTAGTAACATTGTAGTAACACTGGATCAATAAGAGATGATTCTTACTGGACCTCTAGAAAGAACAGTTTAAAACTGATAGAGTTCTGAGTTGTAAACGGATCGTTTAGTTTAGGTTTCCTCCTGTGTAGTAATACTGGATCAATAAGTAGTCAAGTAGGGCTCTAGGAAGAAACGAATTGATCGCTTATCTTTTCCCAATTCCAGAGTGTCGTCCGCACGTCTGATGTTCGTGTCTCAAACAGAGTGAACTAGTCTGAAATGACATTAAAAACTTTCCCCACGGTCTATAATGACCTTATTGGAGAGGTAATGAGCTATCACGTTCATAACTTTAGTGACATCATTTCTACGAAGCGATAACTTCTTAACTCTTCATTTCCAATCAACTCAGATCGATGCGGCGACCGTGAAGTGGCTGGACAGAAATCTCTATATTGGTGATGAGATTCGCGAGGTTTATGAAGCGGTCATCAAAACCGTTGGAAAGAGTCATCTTCTGTTTGACCAGGTTTGTTTTGATGCTTCTCTACACTTCTCTTTGACACCCCGGCGTTCCCTTGCCACGGAGTCCTACACCCTTGCCACGGAGTCCCACACTCCTCCCTTGCCACGGAGTCTTTTCCTTGTTTCCAGCTTTTTGTCAACTCTCTTTTTCCCAAGCATTTTGACCGTTCCTTACCCCTGGGAGAGACACAAGATGGACGAATGGAAGAACAGGTGAGATTGAACGAAAACAGAATCAGAATATAGGATTATATTTTAAAGATTGAAGATCAAGGGTCAGGTTTAAGGATTTATCTTCTATAAAATTATTTGTTTTCCTAGTGTTAGAATTTACTTGATATTTCTCGTAGTTATGATCTTCTTGTATTTTTTTAATTTAGTCCGAAGTTTGGTGATCTCGGTCGACAAGACATATTAAACGTAAGTGAAAAGTTTTTTGAACGGCGCTCTGAGTAAAGTGCAAACGACTGTGTTCCAGTCTTGACAATCTTGCTCGTTTCTTTTCCCCTGGCAGATCTGGCAGATGGGTTCCCAGGTTCTTCACGACTACACGGGCAAAGCAAGCAAGTCCTACAACTCGTGGCTGGCCTGGTGGAGATCTACCATTAATATTGATGATTACTTCAAGTACTAATCAACACAGGTAGTATAAGATTTGAGTTGTCCAGTTAGTCTCACCCTTCAGGGGAGTGGGGTGGGCAAGGAATGTTAACCCGGGTTTCAAAGTTACAATATGTCGAAATGTAGATCCGGGTCCCTGTATATGAAGGGAGGACTATTGTCTACGGGAGAACAGCCATTCGAATTTCTCTGGAAGTCTTGTTGGAAAGCTAGTAATGAATACTTCTTGTTTACAGAAGATGTGTGTTCCTTCCTATGTTGCATTATTAGCACCCTTATTCTAAAATTTCGTTCGTTTCTTGCTCAGGATAATGATTATTTATCATTAACTTATCATCTCTTCGAGTCTGACGACAGCGATTCTGAGAATGACGGAGACAAATATCGTAAACCTAACGCAAGGGAACTCGAATTGAAAAGGTGAATCAAGCGAGAATTAAACAAGACTATTTAAATATATAAACAAGATGATAAGGATAAGTGCAATACGTTGCTTGAATAATCAAGCTAAAAAGACCAACTCTGTCGTTTTCCTTTGACCAAAAACGCGAAGCTTAATTTTCGGCGCAATCGATATGTAATTAATCAGTAATACAAAAGAACGTCAAATTATATAGCCATTTCGTTCCCATTTCTGTGTCACTGGTTTATATCCACGATGGCACAATTATAGTGTGTAATACACTTTGTGACTTTGATGAATCAAGTTCAGAAAAAAGTCAAGCATTGCTCCTTGTGGAAGCATTGCTCCTTGTTCTTCAAGATTGCATAATGTTCATTGATACATGTAGACTGTGGTTTGACATCTACCTGGTGTCAACGGTTGTCGGGGTTTTATTTTAACAAAATTTGGGAATAGGAAATATTACAAATTTATAACAGCAAATATTCATCGCAAAATGACCGTACTTATTGAAAACCGTAACGTAAGGCAACACTTCGCTTGAGATAGTAACTTCTAGAACATATACTAATTTATGGATAAGTAGCGATTACTCTGGGTTCAGCCACAGGCACTGAGGAAGAATATGTACTATGATCTTTAGTTTGTGGTTCAGCGGTTATTTAACATTCACAAAAGGTGTCCATGGTGTTCATGATGTGACGTGTATGTCTGTGAGCTCTATATGGGCATATAGCACTGACCTTAACTGGCTATTTCCGGCCAACGATTACAACCTTTATTGCATTGGGCTGCAATAAAATTCCGCAACAAGCAAGACACTTCCGCTCTGAGATGATATAAAGAAGCCTGACTATTACCTTATGAATAGCAGTATTCGTCACAGTTTAGAAGTGTATTGCTTTTCTTCATTGAGACTAGCTTTGGACAGCAAATGTGTATAATTTGCTTGTTAATTCAACAGAGTTAAATAATCCAACGCTAATTTCCAGCGAGATAAATCTGTTATCTGTATTCGTCGACGTTTGGTATACCATTTGAAAGACGGATTCGCTAACGACGCAAAGGTATTATTTACTTTGGTACTTTCCAGCGTTATTAATTAAAGAGACGTGCACGAGATGGGTGGGGCACAATAAAAAGTCGTGTATATGATGACAGATATACTCAAACTGCGCCACACTTATATCTGCTTAGCCTTAGTATAATGATTATTGTTAAGGTCTGTTCACAGAAACCCATTTTGTTGGATTTTGATTTATGAAATGTGGTCCGATATTGATGAAGCAGTGTTGCATTAGTTTTCTATTTGATTTGTGCCCATACTATAGAGTATAAATCTGGTTTCCCGCTGGGATGGGGGTTAGAGTGTCGTGAACATGTCAAACTGGTTGATATGAATATTTGATAAAATATTTCTATTTGTGTGCAATCAACAAAAACTGATTTGAATACAGGAAATAAAGAGTGCAACCAAAGTGCAACCAGACTATTTAACAATTAGACAACGAGTCGGAGTTGTCTATGAGCGAATAGTTAACAAAGGCGAAGTTGACTATTCGCTCATAGACAACGAAGGCGAGTTGTCTAATTGTTTTAGTATACACCATGTACCTAGATATATCAATTTCGAGAAAATAATCGATACACCGCATATAAAACCGAAAAATAATTTAATTAATTCAATTTTATACGGTCGCGCGAGCGAATTTTTCCCAAACGTTCACCATCACGAATAGCCAATCAGAATGTAGGATTTGTAATAGACAATAGTCGGGTGTATACTAATTCAGCTTAATGACCCATGCTCATATACAGTGCAAGTCAACAGACTATAAACAACTATTTCAGTGAACACAATACCGAATCATCAAAATTTTCCACATACCGAGAGTAGCTTTATAATTTTGTCATTTTAGATGCAGATTGCGTTGTACATACTGATTTCCGCTGCTCAGAGCATATTTTTATTGGATTGCGTGGATAGTACTACAGGAGTAAGTATTGACTTTGAATATAAGCGTAGAAGGGAATCAACTTTGGGTATCACCAAAGTTCCCTGCATGCTCACCAATGGTGCTCACTCAGCTTAGCTACTGATCTATGTAAAGGTCTGTAGTGTGCCTATAATTTTTTTTGAGATCGGTAAATATACCTTTATTAGTACTAGGAAATTTACAATAATCAAACATGCATTACATGCATTAAAACTAAGCAAAGGCGATCTTTCGTCGTAACCAGCTAACAACCATAGACGAAGACTAATTCTTCTTGTCAGCAAGCTTTGCACCCAGGAAGGAGAGAAAATGTTGAGTCTCTCTTCCGGATCCGCCAAAGGCGCTGAAGACGACTGGCGGGAAGGAGCCATGCTCGACTTCAACAATCTGTTGGTTGTAATGTCGCTTCTTTTCCCGTTCGTTGGCTTTGAACGAGCAGCTCAATGTCTGACGTCGATGTGTTGAGGCGTATGGGTTAAACACCCTTACATAGAAAAATGCCTTTTCGCATCTCTGCCAGAAACCTCTCGCAGCAATCTTCACTCTGGCGTCATCGGCTGAGTTAGCACTGGATGGAAGAACTTCGCCAGTCAAAGGAGCAAGGGCAAGTTCAATTGAAACATCGTAAGCAACGTCATCGATAGCAGTAGCAAGTAGATCACGGATCTCATCATGTCCTCGATGGATAAAGCCCTTTTCAGGCGCGACAGGGCATGATCGACCGTGAACGATTTTCCACAGGCGCAGAAAGATGGAAGGCGTTTCAAAGGCCATGTAGATTGCATCAAAGAACTCGCGCTTGGTCAAGATGTAGCCCTCATCAGCTGGTGGCGGAGCTGTTAGCCAAGCTGAGGAACCTTTCAACTGGGCGAAGTCATTTGCTCGAATCTGCTCTTCACTCACGATCTCAAGTTCTGTAGCAGCAACGAGTTCCTATCTTGACGTTGTTTTGCAATCTCACGACGAAGATCGTGGATGAAATCTCTATGTTCTGCATGACGGAATACCATTTGGTGGATGATTCTACTTGAGAGAAAATGACAGATGGTTGTGGAGTTTAAATGTTCTTCATCACAGATGTTAGTAAAGATTGGAATACCAAGACCTCCCATACGAGCTGGAAGCGAAACCAATTGTCGCTCATGGATGGACAAGCTACGGTTATCGAGGAGCGCAGGAAGGAGCTTCAGGTTGATGGTGTCGTCAACAAGCTGCATCGCAGTCTTGATATCTGGAACGGCACGAATGTGGTAAGTAAATCTGTGCCGAAAACCTGAGACAAACGCCGTGTATGGTGCTTTGGGCTGGAATTTGGCAATTTCATTCAAAACGTGAAGTTGCTGGCACCATTTACTAACTAAAGAACTAATATACTTATCTTTTCCGTCATCCGATCCAAGATATCTTCCAAGGTACTTATGCCCTTTACTTGAAATTCGTACATTAGTTCCAGCGAAGATCTCAATGGCAGTCTGCTCTAGGTGTGGCTTCACAATCAACCAGAATTTATCAGCTCGTGGGTAGTAACCAAGACTAGGACCATGCACGGCAATCTTCTCCCACCAGGCACGCAGTTGCATTAGCTTACATGCACCACTAAGGTCATCCGCGTACGCAACATGCATGCCTTACATCACTAGCTTCATCAGATTTAATCATGAGCAGGAGTGGAGTAATGGCAACGGCGTATACAGCATGGCTGCACGAACGAACAATCATGGCTGCATGATTGTACGAACAATCTTGAAGCTGTTACATAACAGTTGAACGTATAAACAGCCATTGCGGGACAAATGTGCTGAATGTTATGTAACATGATCTTGCGGTTGATGGAATTAAACGCATTGGTGGCATCCACCCGTAAGATAGCATCTGTTTCTTCTTCTTCAAAAATCTTCGACATTGCGTGAACAGCAGCCTCGCAGCCAGATTGTTGTCCTGCACATAGTTGTAAGACTCCTGCGCTATCCATGATTTGTGGCTTGATGGCAAAGACAATTGATTTTCCAATTATCCGTCGTAGAACCTCTCCAATCCCAATCGGTCTGACGCCAGGGTTCTTGTCCAGAGGTATTAAGCGACACGATAAGAAGGCCTCTAAGCTGGTGGTCTGATCTGCTCCAATAACGACCTTCTGCATGGGTTGCTAGTGTTTTCGCCATTAACGCTTTTGCCGATCGTAGGTCTTTGCCAGCATCTCCATAGTTGCGAGACACCAAAATATACCGCCATCCAAGTGCGTCAAGACCTGAAGGACCAGCAGCAATGCTGCTTTTGCTATGGCTGCCTCGTCAATATTGGCGAATAACGATGGATCGACATACGGAATTTCACCATCAATCATGACGGAATGATCCTCAGGTTGTGCAGGTGGATGTTTCTGCAAGAGGTCCTTGTACACAGCGTCATTAAGAGGAAGAACTCCACCAGATGATTGTTCATCCAACAAACGTAGAGCTGCGTTCACTTTGCCACGAAACATGAGACTAGCGAAGGTCTTGGAAAGCTGTTCATTCGAAACCTTTCTAGTAACCAGTAGTGTCGACTGGACGGTTCTTCATTCCCGAAGTAACAACAACAAAATTAAAAAACAACAACAAAACAACGAAATGTGAAACAACGAGTGTAACAACAAAATTAAAAAACAAGAGCTGGAAATGAAACGAAGGGAGATCGAGATTCGTAGGGAAGAATTAGAAGCACAGAAGAAAAGGGATGAAAGTATCCTTCAGGCGTTAATAGCATTGGCTAAAGAGGACTGAACATGCACTATATAAATTGTATATATTTATTTTTTTATTTGTGTGCCTATAATTGAGTTATTTAAAGCGCCTGGGCACGAGGCTGGTATCAATTCAAGTTTGGATGGTTTATGTACGAAGATCAGAATCCTGCAATCTAGAGTTTTTTGTGAGGTTTCAACAATCCATACTGCTCGCCTAATTTTTATAATTTTTCAAACAGACTGCAGACATATACATTATAACTAATTTTAACATGTCTATATAACTTATTACACTTTATTTCTTTTGAAGAATCAGGCGTGTACTGCAGTGATGTCTTATGAATGCGAGCCTTGCCTTAACTGCTCCGAAGAGGTACCTGAAGAAAATCACATAATTTTTTATTCTAAGTTGATTAATTTGACTGAAAGAGCATCACCTGATAAAGATGTAATACTATTTGTCTAATACTGGATGACAGCATGACAGCATGACACTGAATGATTGCTTCACCATGACATTGAATGATTGCTTCATTTATATGAAAATAATGCATTGTGTCCACCTTAAATGCGAGCAAAACATGGAACAAAGACTGTTGGCAAGCTTTCAGATCATTTTTCAAACAGACACGATGAAATGTGTAACTTTATTTGCCTAATTCAGCTATTTTTTCTTCATTCTTCAAACATGAGACCACGCAGAGACCATCATTATAGAAAGTTTTTACTCCACTGTTGTTTCAAATGCAATATTGCACTCCTCGTAGCTATGATTCAGTGTTGACAAATGTTTGCATCTATAAAATATCATTGTATTAATGTCATCATTGTGGAAAGAATTATCAATCTTTAAAATGGTTAATCTTTTGTGAAAACAGAGATGGAAGGTATAGTGTTTGCCAATATACCATATAGGTATATATTTTGTCAACAACAATTATACACTAATCCCTATTTTTAGAATCAGTCTATTCTCCCTGTGGGCGTGTCTGTGATACTTACTAATAACATGGATGTAATGAAGGATTTGAAGACGATGGAGAAGATGTTGGATTTGGAATCAGATAAACTGATGATGGAGGAGATTAACAACTTGAAGGTGGAGGTAATGAAGATGCTGTGGTTGAAGAAGTTGGATTATTTGTGTTTGTTTTCTTTCGTGCATAAATAAAATTGCATAATATCCATAATTGTCTGAAATCAGAATTGATTCTTAGTTGGTGATAATTCGTCAATATGTAGGCTTGCAGGTGATACAATAGCTTTTTTCTCAATTCTGTAAACCTGGCCACTGGTTATTGCCTCAATAATACAAAGTCGATTTACTAGCGGCTGAGTTGGCAAGTAGAGTACCATGTATTTTGGAAAAATACCTAGCTTTTTTTTTTGAATTTGTTATTTGTGCATTATTCTAATTAAGTAAATCATTCTAATCAAAAGCAAATTTGTTGAAGCATAAAAACAATTAACCTCGGCAATCATTGTCACCCTCCGGCTCGATGTGTAACCTTTACTTGAGTCGATCGGATGAAATACTAAATTACAGACAAACTCTTTGTGAATCTTCGTGGAACTTTGCCATGTGATGTTTTTGTGACAGACGACCACTGTTGCAATACCCATCGTAGTCGTTTTCTGATTGTAGTAAATTTTGTTGCAGGTAACGCTGCTGGCAAGAAAACAAGAATGGAGGAGTGAAAAAGGAAGGGCTTTATTAACAAAAAACAGTTTGTCTTTTAAAAGCTACGGTGGTTATTTCGGGATATTTTTCTCCAGGAAGGGAATTTGTTACAAACGACTGTGTGGCACTTTTGGGACTTTATCAAATCGAGATGCGCATTTTCAGCAAGATGGTGCTGGTAGAATATTAATAATAGCAATTCTCGGAGCCAAGCTGGTGACGCTACTACATCTTGTTCTGAGTCTCAGATATAAAACAAAAAGCGAAGTTATTAGTAAAGCAAATAAAACAAAAACGAGGAGAGACCCTCTCCAAGAATGGAGTGAGGTTACTTACAGGATCACAATGATCTTATTCTAGCGGGAAAACGAATCGAACTTTTTTGTACAAAAACTATAGCAGCTCATCCTGTATGCAGCTGCATGACAATATGAATTTTTTTGCAGATAAATATCGAGATGTCTTAAATTTGAATGATCGTTTGGATTATGCATCCTATGATACTGAAGATTTCTCAGTTGAAAACCACGCTGCAACACATGAAGTGTCGCATTTAAGTGGATCATTATCGCCCACTGAAAACTCCTGGGGTGAAGATTTCTTACTTCTAAACCCTGCTGTAGTACAAAAAATTCTGGACGAAATTCCAGAGGAAATTCTATCGTCCACTGAGAACCTTCTCGGTACTATGGAAGAGCCTGATCAAGTCTTCCATGAAAATTTTATGAACCTGACAACAATGTCAGCAGAGTCAAATATGAACTCTTTCCACACTGAAACTACAATTGACAATATGGTTTTAGAACCCAACACAGGAACTCTCGAACGTATCAACAGATTTGGTATCGTGATGGGCACCACTAATTCAGACGCGTTATCAAATTGTTCACCGTGCAATATCAAACAGTTCGATACGGCAGCTGAAGGCCTTGGACCGAGGCCTACTTGCATCGCTGGCCATTCTACCATGGAGTCCAGTCTTCAAAACAATGCAATCTCTCCGCTCAGCCAGGCATACGAATGCACCCACGCTGTTGTTCCAGAAATATCTCATCCTCTCGTGATTGTGAATCCTAATAGCAGAAAAAGGCCCGTCGAGGAAGACACCGACCCTGGTCAAGCTGTTGTCCTGGCGTCTAAGAAGAGAATTGAGGAACCTTGCAGTGATGTAGCTTCATTTGTAAATGAAAAAACTATTCCTGCGGGTGAAGCTTCCTCTGAAGGCAAAGAAAGACGTCCTGTAGCGACAACCTGGTGCAGGACTTGTGTCCGCGAACCGGCGGAAGAAGCTGCTCTTAATGAACAGAAAAACGAAGTTGCGATTGAATATTTGAAATCCTGGGTAAAAATTTTGTTTGAAGAAAACGAGTCCCTAAGTAAGGATAGAGAAACGCATAAGGGTGATATCAGCAAGAAGAAAAACAAGAGTTCGTCGCAACTTCAGAAAATGGAGAATGAGCTTGAAAGAGAAAACGCAGAATTAAGAACCATGGTCAAAACGATGTCAAGTGAGGTTAAGTCTTTGAGGAAGCGTTTACATATCAGTTCAGAGGTCAGTGTTATTACAACAAAAAATAATTGACAGAAATTTCTTTGTAAAATAACCATTTGTTTCTCTATAGCATAACAACATATAAAATAAGCATAGAATAGAATAAAATAAGACATCGTCAGCTTGATTAAAGCGACACTAGCAATACTATATATAAAGCTAGGAGCTGATTTGAGAGATTTCCAGAGTGATATAAGGGTCTGGTCATAAAGTAACTGATAGTATACGTTGGGAGGAAACGTATTCATTTAGATACGGCAGGTACGTCTATTAGTTCGTTTCTCCGTCTTTCTCCGTCTATTAATACTACAAATATATTATACAAGTTATTCAGTAAAAACCTGCATTGGAATTGACATTAAAAGGCGAATGACGCATGGAAAATATTATTGATGCATGGAAAATGGCTAGGATAACACCAATTTTTAAATCTGAAAACAGACAAAAGTGTGACAATTACTTACCTATCTCAATTCTACCGATAATAAGTAAGATATTTGAGAAGGAAATTTTTGATCAGTTATATGACCATTTATCTCAAAATCTCTTGCTCTCCAAACATCAATCAGGTTTCCGGCTAAATCACTCAACCATGTGCGATCAATGGTTAGAGAATATGGACAATGGCATGCTAAATGGCGTTGTTTTTCTTGATATCAGAAAAGCTTTTGATTCAATTGATCACTCTATTTTACTAAAAAAGATGAAAACGCAATTTGGAATCCATGGGGCTGAGCTAAAATGGTTTGAATCTTATTTAACAAAGAGAGAATAAGTGTGCCTTGTCAATAGTCAGGTTTCGTCACCTAAACAAATAATATGTGGAATTCCACAGGGCTCAATCCTTGGCCCGTTGCTATTTTTATTATATATTAATGATATGCCAAAGTGCCTAAAATCTACAACTCCCTGTCTTTATGCTGACGATACTGTAATTTCCGCATCATCACATGACTATGATACTCTTGTCCAAAATCTAAATGAGGACTTAAAAAACTTGCATAGTTGGCTTTTCAAAAAGAAGTTACAACACCACCCAACTAAAACCAAATTGATGTTTATTGGATCATCGTATAACCTTAAAAATAAGGTTGGTGAAAATGCTGTAATTTTTGACGACAAACCAGTACCAATTCATTCTTTTGAAAGTTTAGGAGTAGAAATTGATGAAAATCTAAGTTGGGTAAAACATATTGATAAAATATGCAAGAAAGCAAGTTCTGGTATCGGAGCTATAAAGCGCGCTAAACCGTACGTCAACACCAATACGTTACAAACTATTTATAAAGCACTGATCCAGCCGCATTTTGACTATTGTTCTACCTTGTGGTCAAACTGCGGCAAATTGCTCCAAGATAAACTGCAGAAATTTCAGTCCCGCGCAGCAAGGGTAATAACTAGCGCCACCTACGATGAAAGGTCACTATAGATATTCTTAATACCTTGTCCTTGTCCTGGGAAACACTCGAAAATAGAAGGGAAAAATCCAAGGCTGTATTTATGTACAAAGTGTTAAATGGCTACGCCGCCTCAAGTCTAAAAGAATCTTTCTGTAAAAAGAGTGTGAAACAAAATACTTATAATCTTAGAAGTAGTGAAAAGGATTTAATTCTTCCAAAACCCAGAACGGAATATCTAAGAAGAAGTTTTAAGTACAGCGGCGCCATGCTATGGAACAACCTTTCACCTGCAGCTAAATCGGCAGATACTTTAAACTGCTTTAAACGAGAAATAGCAGTAAACTAGTGGAAGATGCTGTGCCACACGTGTCAAATACGTTTATGTATTTTACATTTTTAACTCTATCTTTTTTTAAAGTACTTATACTACATTGTATTATTTGTGTGACGCCCCTCGTGGAAATCAGCTATATATAAATATGCAGTCGAGGCTAGCGTGGGTAAATAAAGTTTTTAATAATAATAATAAATAATGTTGACCGCACGAATCTGCAGGTTGGTTGTTTAAAGTTTGATTTGCACTATAACCCTTCATGAGTTACATCTGAAACAGCAGTGTTTGGATAATAATGTATTTCTGCATGGTCTTTCATGTTAAAACGTGGGAAATTAAAATTTCTGTCGACCCTAGAATGATTTCTCGATTAGTATGATTAAGATGGTTTAAAGTTTGATGTAAAGATTTAAAGATTTAATCCAGGATTAAGTCAGCCTAATTTTAAGCAGCCGATCTCGTAGTATATTGAATGAAAGCTAATGCAGTTTTTAATTAATATAATTGAATAGTTATCTCAATGTATCAGAGATGTTTTAGGAGGCTTACAAGCTTTGCGTTTATAGGTTAAACGGCAGAATCGTCAGTTTTTTAACTGTAATGTATCCTTATCTCCTTGAGATGAGTGCAAACGTGATAACGTTACGTGAATAATCAAACAAATCGTTTGCTGTTGCCCAAAAACGCAAAGCTTAATTTTCTGCGCATTTTATGTAATCAATCAACGTAAATTTTACGTAAATTATATAATAATTTCGTTCCCACTTCTGTGTGACGGGTTTATTTCCACGATGGTGCAATTTTAGTGTACAATGCACTTTGATGAATCAAGTTCAGAAAGAAGTCAAGTACTTCTCGAGGGTTTCTTTTGAATTTGTGTGGAAGCATCTCTTCCTGTTCTTTAAGATTGCATAATATACACTTAATATATGCTCCCGAGAGAAAAAGTCATATTGGTATAAAGCTCTCATTACAATCCTGAGGGAAGTAAATTATTGAAATTTGAATTGAATATTTAATTGTAACTTCGCTGCGAAAAATACGTGAGTTGCGCGAATGATTCGATCGCAATCGATTCCGCCACTGCATCGAAATATGGAACACGTTTATCCATGGTTTATTACATGCCGGTGGTATCCACAATTAATACAAAACAACGAAAATACAACCATTTCGTTCCCATTGGTGTGTGACTGGTTTATTTCCACGAAGTTGCAAATCAAAATGGTGTATATGCATTTAGGAGAGACAAGTTTGCCCGCACTTGAACGTGTGGGGCGCATTCCATCCATCTGGGTTCTGTTAGAGGACCCCCGGGCCCCTCCCCCTCCCCGTTCTTCGAGATAGGCATAATTTCAATGTACAATGAAAGTGTTGACTTTTTCTCCAATATTTGCATTATTTCCGTTAAAGCCTTTTCTCGTACCCGTGAAAAAGGAAGAGTTTTAGCATTCCCTTAAGGTGTTCAGCTCCGAGGCAAAATTATTTAGAACTAAATAAAACCAATCCCGTCGTTCTAGAGTTAAAACCTAGTTTGTTGTCGTGTTTACAAAAATCGTCTATTTCCAACCATTGGGTTTGTCTGGTCTGGGTAACTATAGGGATTGAAGATTCCTACAAGTCTTTTTTCACTCACAGCAACTTGGCTTGCAATATGGCATGAAAAGATTTTATATCTTTCAATAAAAGGTAAAAAAATGTTATAAGACTATCTTAAAGCAGTATTTTCCCGCTTTGTCCTTCTTAGGTACACCAGCGCGTTTGCTTTTTTGTGCCTGATCACTATTTTATCATACAACACCGCCCATTTTGCTCCATTCATGAATAATGCTAAGGTTAAACAGCTTGCCAACAAGATAGGTAAAATTGCTGGAACTTTCATCCATATACACCGGAATAAATGTTGTCCTTTGTAAACATTGACTCTGCACTTCAAACCATTGGCTTGAAGTGGTCCAAACACATTGTCATTGCATGCATGCATGGGGGCAAAATTTAATCACATTAGAAAGATTAAATCAGGTCATTTTTTAGTCATTTTTTAGACACAGTAAATGCCTCCAATGAAAATATCCTTAATTTCGCCCTAGCCGTTGACAGGCGACCCCCAAACAATCAAAACATGTTCCTTCTATTTTATTATTATTGTAATATAAATTGAATTAATTAATAGAGATGCATGTGGAGGAGGCTAGGGCCTAATTGGGGGTTGTAATTCATCTTATTGCAGACTGATTTCTCTTGTTCGCTATTGTTCTTATCATATGTAAACATGAATATATAAATATAAACCCCAACCGATTAAGCAGTGAGCAGTCTAGCAATGACCCTGCCCCCTTCCTGTTAAGTAGTAGCCCATAGCTCCCACCGATCCTTTAGCTATTGCCCTGCCCCCTTCCTGTTTAGTAGTCATCCATAGCTCTCATTCAATCCTTTTTTCAGGATATGTCACCAGAGGAGTAGAAAAAGGTGCACAAGCCTTTCCCCTCCACAATTTTTCAAAGGATCAAAAGTGCCCTTTTTGTTAAAGCTTGTGTTGCTGTAAATTTTGGTCATGTTGAATCCAATTTAAACAATAAAAAATAAAATGGCAAACCTCATTCAGCTTCATTATCATCCTATTATCTAATGTTTTAGTACTAGTGAAATAATTTGCGCTTTTATTTTTTTTGTCAATAAGTCAATTGAGCCATTTAATTTTGCATGTAGTGTTGAAAAAAGCTAATAATTTCATACTCTTCATAATTTACTAGCTGTGGTTGTCATGAAAAATACTGTCTGTGGTAATACTCTTTTTAGTAGCAGGTTTAGGAGCACTGGGATTTGTTTGAAGATAAAATCTTTGAAGTAAATTAACAGCTTGTTCAGCATAGACTCCTGAAACTAAATTAAGTGGCTTGCTTGGCAATTGATCACCATTGCAGGCAGGTCTCTTATTGCCATCATAAACGTCATGGTGTACATTTAATATTGACCCACAACCACCAAATCTTTCATTTGCACAACCATATACCACTTTTGGTATGCAAAGAAGTCTAATTGCAGCAGCACACATAATGCAAGGTTCAACTGTCACATAAAGGGAGCATTGCCTAAAAACATCCATATAGTCTAATCCATTTAATTGGCAGTATTGCTTGACTTGATTTGTAGCAATTATTTCTCCATGCTGTGTGGCATTCTTGGTATTGTTTACCTGGTTGCGTCCGTATCCCACCACACTGTCCTCATATATTATTATACAACCAACTGGAACTTCACCACTCTGTAATCCCTCTTCTGCCTGAAATTGTATGCTTTTAGACATTACATACATATGCAATATGTAGGCAGTAATGTTTGCTGGTTGATATGATCAACCTTAGGGCTTATCTAGGAACTTTTTAGACAAATGCGTTGTTATATAATGACAATTCCTGTGACACCATGCACAGCAGAATGATGTCAATTACTGGCTTAGTACAGTATATTGTTTGATATTTATTATATACCAATGATCTTGCTCACAAAAGCAATTATGAAAAAAGTAGCATTAATAAACATGTTACTACTACAATAACTAACAATTAAGGTAAAAATGATATAATAATTACCACTTTCAAGCATTCCTTCATCCACTTTTTATCATATTCTGAGAAGCACTCCATAAATCAAACCTAGTTCTTGCTATTGTTCTTGCTTGCTTGCTAAGTCAGAATATTCCATATGGAATATTCCTACGCCCCCCCCCCAGTGACTCCCCCCCCGTGAAACTCACAAAATGGTATTAAATCAAAATGGCTGTCGCGGATGATAATAATTAAAGTTAAAGAAGATGTGGCTTGATCACTGAATTGACGAAGAGAATCATAGAATTTAAATCACCCGAACACCAGTGTTGCGTCAAAGAATGTAAGTAATTGTTTACGGGGAAGATGGTAACACAAATGTTATACACTATCCAATAGATCTTTCACCAAATTGACAAAAGCACACACTAGGGAATATGTAAATGACTTATTAAAGTGTAAGTATTTATATAAAATGAATACACCATATTAGTCTTACAAAAATCCCTATTTGTAGTACTTTAATAATTCATGCATTTTACTTTCCGGAATAATCGTGAATCTGCCACTTTGATCGTTTATTATTAAGTCCAAATAGTTTAAATTATCCCGTGGAAGAGTCAAAGTCTGCAATACTTAAATTAAATCTTTCTGATAAGATTTTTTGCAATAAATATCCAATATTGAATATTCCTACTTAAAATGTCAAATGTTCTATAAAGTATGTTTTTGGTAAATAATGAGATGAAGATGAAATCTAGCAACATTTTCTATTACAAGAGTCTTTTCATTAATTTCATTAATGCAATATAAACATCAAGATACATTTTGTCTTAGATTACTCAATTAGAACTGATAAAAGTGTTGGTAAAATTCTTATGTGTGTAAAGTGTGCAAGGCTACAAAACAAAAATGTAATTTACCTCTGCCATTGTCTACTTTATCTCCACATTGAAAATGAATGGTTATATATGTAGAACAAAACTTTGATTGATTGATACAGACCACTGAGATTCTATCTATGGTAAATCCTATAATGGACCATTTCAAAGGATCATAATCATTTATCATCATATTAATCTAACTAGATTACTCTAGGGTAAAATGGAGGTGTAGATGTGATGAAGGAAAATGCACTTAAAGATTTCTTTACCAAGTTTTATTTGCTCATTTGTATGTCAAAAAATTGATTCCCCTTGTAATGGAACCTTGTTACAAAACTGGTCATGCAGTTTTTTAAAAAAGGAGATTTATTGTATGGATGACCATGAAGGATGATAACTTGACAAGTTAATATATTTGACAAGATATGAAACTTAACAAAGAAAAGAAAGTTGTCAATGAAAACTTGCTTGCCTTACTTACCAGCAAATGAACTTGTCAAGAGAAGAAGCTAGTTAAAGAAGCTTGTCCGTTCAGGGCTTTCATGCACTCTTAATACAGAATATATGTACACAGTACACATACAGAAATGTTTTTCTAAAGCTTGTTTTTGAACTGGGAAATTTGTTAATGAGGAAGTAAGTTTTAAAGTCACCACTTCCAAGATGCTATCCAGGAGCAGTCAAGAAAAGTAGACACGTTACACGTTAACCTGCATCCTGTGTGTTTCCAGTACACTGCTCTGAGTGACCACTAACCTACAGAGAGAACCGCCAAGGCTCGTGCGATTCTTGTATATAAGTAGTGTTGTTATATAGGTGCTGTGTATTTTAAATATGATTGGTTCATTTGTAGTCGCAAGTGAAAAATTGTTGCCCGTTTCTTGTTATGAGTGGGTGTTTTTAAAACATTTTTTCCAAATATTTTTATCCCCTTAGAGTTATATTGCTACTCAACTCATATGGACTGTATTTACTTGCCATAAAATAGACCCAAATAAATGTGTTAAATAGGAAAATAGGAAAATTTGACAAACATTTGACAAACCTGCAATTGTGTATTTGTTTCACATGCTCTGAACAAAAATACTTTTGCCAGAATATGATGATGTGAATAATTATAAACAAACACAACTCACAATACCCGAATGCTAAGGGAGATAGTGAACTTAGGATCAAAGACGTTTTAGCTAATCATTATAAGCGGCATTGCCCATGTCCATATTGTAGTTCATCCCTAGTTAGTCCTATAGCTCTATATAAAACTAACAAAATGTTCATAGGTAGCAATTAACTATCGTCAGTTTTATCGCGAAATCAATTAAGGAACATTTTGACATGTCAGCTGCCTGCATTATTTAGCAAGTTGATACGATTGCAAAATTTTGCGGCTTATTAATTATGAAAGATGTATACATTTTTAGAAACATACCGAGCATCTCATATCCAACAGACGAAATAATAGTATGTGGTATAGTTAGGTTAATGTGGCTACCTTTGTGTTCTTCACGACTAGACTCTGGGCGCCTCTATTACAATTTTTTGCTTTTAAAACGAAGTTTCTTCAATGATTACAGTTTCACGATGATTTTATGAACTTATTTATTATCACAAAATAGTCCTGCCGCGTAAGGATTTAAAAGGGCTGTTTAATTCTATTAACACCAAGACACATGAAAGTTTCCTTCCTTGGGCCGAGCTAGTCCGTTTCAAGGACTTTCCTTACTGTCATGGGTATATACGAAATCATTTCTTTCCTAATATTAAATTAATGTCATTTTAACCAGCTGCACATGTGGGCAGAAGTGGAAAAAAATATTTTGTGGCGTTTAAGCATCTGCGCTAATTGAAAAAACCCAATTATATTTGTCATCAAAATGATAACGAGTCGACACATTCGTTGAGATTTTGCCCTGCACGACTAAAGAAAAAACCTTGGCTTCTTGTTTCAGAATTTAAAGCGATACAGTATAAGGCGCTCTCGTCTCTGTTTCGCACATGTACACACGGATCTGTTCTTTCATTTTCTAACGTTATATAGTGTTTCACCGCTGAACATTTGTCGACAGCTTCTAGGCAACAATGGCAGGAGAGGTAAGAAAAATATTGATATAAATGTGAATCCGAGGCGAAGGGAATTTTTCAAAGGTTCACGCTCACATTTGTAAACGGTCACCTAAACATCCGTGTAATGGCCAACTCATTTTCAAAATTGTATAGTCTTAGTGTAAATGCGTTCATGAAAATACTTTAAAATACTTTCACATGCTATACGGGGCTTCAACTGATAATGCTATACGGGGAACAAAATATTAAATGACTAAAATGGGTGGATGAATAAGTTTAGATTAGGCCTTTGATTGACCTTAGTCAGAATATGGGGTGGATTGTTCAAAAAAGTAGGATTTAGTACGAAATTGATATGGATTGTTTGATTACCTGATTTTTTTCTTTAGGGTGGAAGATTATGGGGTGGTCGTTTCACGGGAAATACAGATCCGATCATGGAGTCATTCAATGCTTCTATAACTTTCGACAAACGAATGTGGGCTGCAGACATTGAGGTAACTACTGAAATGAGAGTATTTAGTATACATTCACATCATGTGCTTCGCTCTAGCCTCCTCCCCCAGAGTTGCTAAAACGCCTCCGGTATGCAGGTTCTTGCACGAGGAAATTTCGCTGCATTCAAGGAAGATTTTATATAAAATGAAGGACCCTATATAATAGTGGAAATATAGGTATAGCAGCAAACATCAATACGAGCTACCAAAAAATAGCAATCCCAGCAAAATGACTAGTAAATTGGGTATAACTGATGGAGGTCATCATGCTACATAGCTTGGGATCCCCAAGAAAAAAATCCTTTTGAAAAAATTCACCTCAATGAAGATTTAATTTACAATGAATCGGTGATGAACATTACACGTTGTTATTCCCTTTTTACTGCATGAAATAAGGGCATTTGAACATTCTTAATATTAATAATTGTTATGACCAGGCCTTTTTAAGGGGGCCAAAGAATTTAAAACATCTGGTTTTAAAAGGTTTACATTTTCGGAGTCGGACCGCAAGATAGGGGCGAAGGGTGTCGCGGTATGATAAAATCTGATTTTGATATACATGCAGTATACAGTTTTGCGAAAGTCAAAAATTTATTATTTGTTTTGTTCAGTACATGCACGGAATCAAAGTTGTAAAGTTGGCCAATTGTTCATACGTCATACGTGTAACTTATTACACTGTACGGTCTTCATTATTAAGCATTCAACTAGGGACTAGGTTAAGCTAAACAGCCTTCGTACATGACACTTCGTAGAAAATTCCCTAAACAACCTTTCTAGAGGATTTCCCTGGAAACGAGATTGGCAATCCGAAAAAATGACATCTTTCAGGCGGTATTTCCACCCATGGGTAACCTAGTTTATTACTATATAGGGAAGCATGGCTTACGTGAAAAGCTTGGAAAAGGTTCACGTGGTCACTAAGGAAGAAATGGATGAAATCATCAAAGGACTTGAAAAGGTATAGTTTGTATGGTTTCACATGTATCACGTAAACTGGTTTTCAAGTTCCGCATGAAGGAAAATACATGTATGTTGATTTATCAAGAAGTGCCCAACCGTCCTGAAACTCTCCTCGAGAATTTGGATACTGCATTTTCTTAAATATGATGATTTGTGACGTACATCTCATCATAAGAACCTTTGAATGCAACGCCACCATATATCCATTGTTTATTGTAGGTAAAAGAAGAGTGGTCTTCAGGAGCATTTAAGTTACAGCCAGGTGATGAGGACATCCATACTGCTAATGAAAGAAGACTGAAAGTTAGTATCAATATATCAGTTGTAATTTGTAAACATATGTTGAGGCACAATTAATAGAATATACATGGTTCATACTAAATAAAAGTACAATACAACTCATTTACTATGTTATTGTCCAAGTTTATGCAAAAAATGGTTCCTTTCTCGTCACGTGTTTCTTGTATTTTAGCCAAACGTACCAATGGCATTCGTCTTGCTAAGCTCCTCAACCTTGACTGAAAAAATTGTTAATTAAAAGATTGCTATTGGTTTAATTGCGCAAAATACAATAGACATGTGATGAGAAAGGTACAATTTTTGCATTAGTCTACCTCAACATAGTTAATGAGTTGTATTGTATAGTTTTATGTGGTCTCATGTATACCATGTATGTAGGCTCAAGTGTACATATGAAATGAATATTGTGATGAAGTTACTCTGAGTCACCAACCAGGTAAGCTGAAAAATTAGCTTGACCACGGTGGGAATCGCACCCGCGACCTTTGGTTTACTAGTCTAGTTACCAGCTCTTCTGTCTGAGCCACTAGGTCAAGATGTTTCGAGTAAGTGATATTTCGGAACTCAGTCTAGTCCCTTCTATATCTGTGCGTCTTAAAGTTATAGTAGTAGTGCATCATCTCAATATTCATTTCATATACATGTATACATGCATCTGACCCATATGCACTTAATTAATCAACACACCAATTACTCGACCCGTCTTGACCTAGTAGTTCAGTTGGAAGAGCATTGGACTAGCCAAACAAAGGTCGCGTGTTCGATCCCTACCGTGGTCAAGCTAATTTTTCAGCTTACCTGGTTGGTGACTCAGAATAAAATCTTTTGCAATATTCATTTCATATGTTGAAGCGTTGTCATGACCGTTTGAAACACGGTAGTAGCTCAAATGCTTCTCTCACTTGTCCTTATCAGCTGATCTGGGAAAGAATATTCGGAGGTCAGATTCTTAGTTTAACTGAGTTATTTCCATTTTAACCTAAAAGGTTTGAATGTTTCTTTTATTTTTTTACCAAAAGACTTCATTTTTGAAGTTCCTAAGATCGGCCATCACGTCAAAGTTCAAACTTGTTATTTTGTGCAATAAACATGCAATGTGTTAATTACATGCGACTCCACAAGCGTTTTGTTGTTATCCAGACTTATCTTTAAATATTGTAGGAACTTGTTGGGAGCGTTGCTGGAAAATTACATACAGGAAGGAGCCGCAATGACCAGGTATGCTAACAATTTAATCTATATTGCTATATTTATACCTTTGTAATAAAAAAATTCTGTGTAGGTGTGATATTAGTTGTATCAGGAATTTTCATTACGAGCTTAGTTTTATTTCATTAATAAACGGGAATTTTATAACCAAAATATGGTATATTTGGGCTGAAATAACGAGAAACTTGTATTGAAAACATGAATTATTAGTTGGTATACCTAAGGTCTTCACATGCAGAATTCTATATGGTCGAGATAACTAAATGTTATCTAAACACAACCGTTTTAGTTGTGGCCAAAACACACGAACGTTTTGATGAACAACTTTTTTTGTTCAACAGATATACTCAACAACAAACAAACCAGCGAAAAATGAAAAGAAGTTTAATTGTAAAATTGACATTGTGTGTAGTTATCATTGTGGTTATATAGTGTGCATGTAAATTTTAAAATGGTATAATTTTTTGTTTTAGGCTGCGACAGACACAAGGTATATAAATTACATCAGTATTGGTATAACTGGTAGTTGTGGCTGGGAGCATTTGAAGGGGACGTGTAGAACTTCAATAGTCATTATAATTAAATTGTTAAGTTGTATAGATTTAACATCCTTTAAACACACAAAGTTGATTTTTCACGGACATTTTGTCATGAACTGTTTAAATTGTTCAGTGTTATATAATAGGTTCTTTCGTATACAGCTAAAAATGTCACATCTTGTGACAAATTTGCAATTATAACTTGACAAAAACTTGCTACTGGTTGCTACTCAGCTTGTATACAAGTTGTGCGTTGTATATACAAGTTGTGCGAATTTCTTTAGTGGTCCAGTTTAATTCATCTCTTGTTTTTTTATTTAGATTGTGGTTAAGAAACAAAGCCAATGAATTAAAGAGCCATCTTAAAGCCCTGATCAACGTTTTTGTGGAAAGAGCAAGCCAGTATGTATATGGTACAAGAGTATATACTCTAGCTCGCGGCTAGATCTATCAAAACCACTAGGGGCTTTTATCGTGAAATTATTCTTTCTGAACTTAAATACTTAATGATCAAATATTGTTGTGTGAGTTTGAGGGATAGAGTGAGATTAGGGGACATTGAGGGATTGAAAAAGAAAGGAACTCAAAATCGCGGCAAAAAAAATACGAGAAAGAGAGAGATGCTAGGTGTTACAGCTAAATTAAAAGTAATAAAGAATTCATTACCCATCGTGGGTCAAGTTAATTGTCGTTAACTTAAAGCTCTTTACGATCGACATGGTCATTTCTTGCGTGTTGTTAAAAATATCACCTAGTGTCCATTAGTTATACATAGCTACTGCATTCATCATTATTGTACGAGTTCGTTGGTTTTGATGGTTGACGAATCAGGCAATTCAGTTCCTTCGTTACCATGCAACGATCTAAAGTTTATGTATTATTGCGTAGTATCCTTCGTTCTCGATAAAACACACCAACTATTGTATAATACTGTATGGTTCATTCAATCTGTACCTTCATTATTATGTTAGGGAAAAAGATGTTCTCATGCCGGGATATACACATATGCAGGTACGTTGAAAGGCAATAATTCATTATCTTGTTTTTGTAGAACATGAATACATAAGATTTGATAAATACAGTCTAGCTAACTCGATATTCGCTTCCAATGCAAATTCAAACAATGGATAATGAGATGGTAAACCTATCTATTGTTTGAATTGCATCCGATGCGACATTATGCACAGTATTGTGTTTTCTGCACAATAAAGCATCGATTCATCCGACAGCTGTAACAGAAAGACTGAATTTGTCAGGCTTTCGGTGACATGACGGAGTCCATTGAATTTTCCTCCAGATATGGAATAGCGTTTTTCTGTTTTTAAACTAAAAAATAATAAATGAATAAAATTTTGCCATGAGACAAAGGAGTTGCCCATCCTTTTCGTACTTCTATATAATATGGGCCGACAATAGACACATACAGGATGATATGATTCATTTGTTTTTATCCTTATTTTTACAGAGAGCTCAACCAATCCGTTGGAGTCATTGGTTGTTAAGGTATGTTGTCCATATAGTGATGTTTCTATATGTGTTCGTATGCTTGTCAAATTATGCATGCATAAAGCTATATGGTTGCATAGTTAAAACAAATAATCGTGACATTATTAATATTTACAATTTGGAAGTTGGTCTATATAGTGTCCTTTTTTACCACTGCAATAGCTATGCTTGGTCACTTAAACGAGATTTCGAAAGATTGCAAGATTTGTCTAAAAGATTGAACTCTCTACCTCTTGGAAGGTAAGAAAATCCTAACATTTAATTATTGCATAGTTTTTCTTGACTTTTTTTACATTTGATTTAATTCAATTCAACAATAATTTAATTCAATAAGAACCTTTTTTTGGTAAAACATTGGAAATCAAGCTCTTATTCAAATACTGTCATGGAGTCGTTACGAAGTGATCTAGATCTCCCATTCAATGAGTACCATGAACTTTTAGCATACATGCATCTGGCGTTCTCGTAGTTCGAACATCAATGAGCACCCTATATCGTTTCGGTAGTTCATTGGTTGGGTTGTTAGTTCTCGTTGTTGCACTTCTCTTCAAGTTGAACAATTCAAGCTTCGTGTTTCGATTATTTTCAACTAAATGTCATTTAGCAATTTGACCAAATTTTCAACTGAAGGCTGTACACCTGCTTCAAGTTGTTAATGTTTGGGAAATCACTTTAAAATATTATTATTTGTAATGTGTTGATTTTTGTCTTATAGTGGTGCATTGGCGGGAAATCCATTCAATGTTGACCGCGAATTTCTTGCTAAAGGTATTTGAGGATATATATCGCATATATTATTGTAGCCTAGTTCACATTTATCTGATTAATGTGCCTTACTGTTATTTGTCGTACATTTATAAGTGCATTTATAGAACGTGGATGAAGGGTATTCCGTTCTGCTTCGTTAATGTAAAAGTAAATGCTTTTAACATATTTTTTATTAGAACTTGGATTTGAAAGCGTTTCTCACAACAGTCTTGACGCTACTTCAGATCGAGATTATGTAGCTGAGTTTATGTTTTGGGCGTCGCTTCTCATGACACATTTAAGGTATGACTTGTGGGTATATTATGGATTTATGGAGAGTTCATTATTATTACCTGGTTTGGTAGCAATGTAATTATGTCGGGATATAATCTTGCGCTCCCGCCAGCTGATCTGAGTATAAAAATCAACCAATGAGAAGCCAGATCCTCGAATTATCGTTTCTTTCATTTCATATGACTTTGGCACACATAATTTTTTTTTTCACTCAAATGTAAATAAAGCAGGCGCCTCAAAATCAAAATCAACTTAATCCTTCTCTTTGCTCGTAACTCGCCATATCAATAGCAATGTCCCATTTTTCCTTCCAAAGTTGTATAGTTTAAGTACGTTCAGTGACCTGGCCTCTGTTTGTATTATAATATATGTGAATTTAATATGTAAAATGCGTGTCCAAATTTGAAATGATTTTTATCAACTATGGGCAGAATAAAATCAAACTTATGCAATAGCTGAGTAGGGAAAAAATGGTTGATTATAAGAGTGGCTGGTAGTTTTTTTCCTTCCAAATGACGAACTTATGGAAAGCGTAGAATATTTTACGTTATCACAAACAATGGCAAAAACATGCTAATACATTAATGCTTAACTTTGGTTGTTTTTAGTCGATGGGCTGAAGATTTAATCATTTACAGCACATCGGAGTTTGGCTATGTCTTGTTATCAGACGCGTACAGGTGAGCATAAAAGTTGTTTTGGGCCAGAATTGAGCAATGGACCTTTTGCATTATAGACATTTTTTTTATCTATGCAAGATAATCCAATAAAATCACCACAGCTGAAAAGAGCGTACTGAAATTAGTAGAAATGCAAAGTTTGGTTGCGAAATGTCATAAGATGCCGAAAATATCGCTTTGCAAAGTTTGCAAATTTGTATACTTTAGTTTAACGCACGGAAATTGCTACCACATTCGGGCCAAAAATGGTAGCAATTTCCGTGCGTTAGACTAAAGTATACAAATTTGCAAACTTTGCAAGGCCATATTTCCCGTATTTTACGACATTTCGCCACCAAACTTTGCATTTTTACTAATTTTGGTACGCTCTTTTCAGCTATGGTGATTTTATTGGATTATCTCGCGAAGATCAAAAAGTTGCCTATAATGCAAAAGGTCCATTGCATCAGCAATTTTTCATTTGTGTGTTACCTACAACCGAAAGTTTTCTAATAAAGCCTGATTACATTTGTAATTTTACTAAAGCATTTTCTACTTTCGTTAGGTCTGAACAAACAATTACTTTCACATCAATCAAAAGCAGAAAATTGCAAAATTGAACGCATCATGCATTTTAGGATTTACCATGTTTTTTCATGGGGCATATAACTATACAATAATTTATTTTTTTGTTTATAGCACTGGTAGCAGTTTAATGCCGCAGAAGAAAAATCCCGATAGCTTGGAATTAATCCGAGGAAAATCTGGACGTGTCATCGGTGATGTAAGTACGAAGTATTAAAAAAGTGTATTTTTTGCGTAGGCGTTTGGGTTAAAACTGCGACCGGAATAACTCCCAGTTTTCAGTTAAAGTACTTATGTTTTTATTATTTATTAGTATACAGAACGAAAATTGAGGATATTTCTCTTGAGGTTACTAATTAGCTAGTAGCTACCAGATTTTTACCAGCTATCAGCCCAACTGCATGATAATCATCATTTATAATGGTGGCACTGCGTGCACACCGTTGCGTTGAGGACAGCTGATTCAGCCTGTATGAGTGCTATGTTAGTTCCTAATCAGGCCTTACGCCTAATTTAAGAGGGTTTTTTACCATGCAGCATGTTTGCCTACGTACTGGCGGCATATTGTGCACATTATGTTTCATGTCTTTATATAGACATGAAACGTTTAGATGGGTTTCTTAAGCAGATTTAGCATGAGGATGTAAACGTCAAAGAGGACGTGAAAATGGGGAATCGTTAATCGTTATTGTATTAAAAGTGATTGTGAAAAAAAAGCTAAATATTATGTGAGTTTATGTACATCAACAATTAAGAGAACGTAACAACAAAGATAATTCATTTCTATTTGTTTTTAGTTCACCGGATTCTTAGTTACATTGAAGGTTAGTATATAATGAAGTACCAATGATAAAACAACCTGTAATACGGTACCGTGTATCTAAGTTATAACAGTTTCGAGAAGTTTTAAGCGATTTCTTCACTGCTTTATTTATGCTAAACAGTTTTTTGACCCCAATTGTTGTAAATTTCATATTTTGCAACGTTTCGGACAGTTTTACTGACCTGTCCGGTTTATGTTATAATATATGAAATTTAACCTTAAGTGGAATCCTAGAAGTAACAATTATAGAATACAATTTGAATATAATGAACGAAGGTGAAAGTTTTAGAAAAAAGGTCTGATTAAGACTGTTTAAGGATTTATTGCGTTCTGTTTGCGCGCATTTCGCGTACCGTATCATCTCAGATGTATCTAGCGCTACCATTGTGGCCCTCAAACACGCGGCTTTACAACTCTTCCCCTCTACCTCCCCATATATTTTAATATTAATATAATTCAAGAATTACTATATTATTAGAATTAATTGCATTCACATTTATATAATTATGCACAGTATAGATTCTATTTTTCCTGTCTCTCATGTGCAAAACCACTTTTTTAGGGTTTACCAAGTACTTACAACAAAGATCTACAGGTATGCATAGCCTTGTTTACTTCACTTCTAATATCGATAGATCGACGGTGATATCAAACATTGACCACGTCAACATTGACTTTTAACTTTTAAAGTGCAAAATAACGATCTACATTTATCTAAAGTTGCCAGTGTGAAACTCGCTTCTAAAACCAGTATAAGTTCGCAAAAGTGATGTGCTTTGATTTAAAATTAAAGCTTTCAAGTTTTCATGTTGTCATTGTGTGCGATTGTTAAGTAAAGAAAATAATTCCTCATTGCGGAAATCCTTGATGGTCAACATTTGTCGATAACCTCGATGATAATAACAGTGTTTATGAAAGCCAGACGTGATGTAGTTTTCCTTTGTCGTAATTTCTAAACCGTAATTTAATTTAATTCGGTTTTCATATGCCAGATTGCATTATAACAAAGACTAACGACATATATGAAGACTGGTTGTAGGCACGTTACACGCATCTGATTCATTGGTCACCGACAATTTCCTGACGACTAGAATGAACAGAACAAAGTGTGAAACTTGGATGCTAATCATTTACCATGGGAAACGGGAAATTCCGGTCGGAAAAGCAAATGGTACAAGGAAATTCCATTGGAATTTTCCAAGATATCCAAACTTTCCCGAAATTTCCAATGAGAGTTCCCGGCGCCATTTGTTTTCCGCCGGAATTTCTGATTTCCGAAGGTAAATGGTTAGCGATGACCTTCCCAGTTTTGAGAGTTTCTATATATTGACAAATTCTATTACATATTCATCTTCTCCAGGAAGACAAGGAAGCTTTGTTTGATGTTTGTGATACCTTGGATGGGGTGTTGCAAGTTGCTTCAGGAACGCTTTCTACACTCGAGGTTATTTATCTTCCTTTTATATTCAGCCTGCATGGTTTCCATTTTGTCGTTCATTTTCACCCATTAGAAATATTTCGGATATTTCGATATTCAAAGCGGTAAATGGTGACTGCATGCACACAAATATTCATCTCATCAGTCACCTTGACGTGCATGTTCACGAAAATTATAGCTAAATGGAAACCATGCAGGCTGTCGTTGTAAATAGGATACACGTTAATAGTATACATTTCTTGTTTCGAACCTACATGTTTGTTGTTCACGAACTGTCATCACCAGTGTGCATGACAGTGCTTATTTGTCTGTATAAACTCATCGAACTATATATTGTGACTCAGAACGGTGAAAGTGAAAAAGTGAGGGGAAAAAGTTTGATGTCAAAGAAAAACACACTTTTTATAGATTATAGATTTATGACCTCCTATTATTTAGAATGGAAAGTCGCAAAAAAAAGAATGACAATTTTTTTGGTAAAACAAGTCTTTGGTCCAGTCAAAATCCGTATACAACATTTTTCACTAGATAGTAAAAAAAATCGTTAATTTCCAGTAAAGAATGATTTCTATTTATGTGTCGAACTCTTTCCTGGTTAGGGAAGGAGTGGTATCGGTATATATCAATAATTCGTGCCTCATATGATTTTATAACTTCTCTTTTATTTGCATAATTCTTCCTTGTTTCCACTGGAGTAAATTAATTACCTTTTTTGTTCAATTTATTAATAACATTGTGTGAAACTATAATTTTAAGATTAATAAAGAAAGAATGATGTCAAGTTTGGCTCCGAGTATGCTCTCCACAGACCTTGCCTACTATTTGGTTAGAAAAGGAGTAAGTGAATCCTTGAGCTTATTTTTTCTGACGGTGTCTACTGTCTATGCATGATCATGCATTCGAAAAGTGTATTTGTGCTTCGTGCATTGATTATAGAAAGTTACCGCTCCGCAGCTATAGGTAATATCAAATATCAAGAAAAAAAATCATAATTACAGTCAGTGATTCACAATACGATCAATGGTAAGATCTTAGAAAATGTTTGGTGACGATGCTGTCATAAAGGGCTGCTATATGAGGTGATTGTGTCCTTCAAAAAAATGCATGAGTCAGTTTTTTGGCATTAAGCTTTGCTTTTAAATTACGTTCCACTGTGTCAGCGTCATTGGCCAACAAACGTCAACAGTTTCGTATTCGATTTTTCTTACAGGTTCCATTCCGTGAAGCACACAGTTTATCTGGTTGCGCTGTTAAAATTGCCGAGGATAAGAAATGTTTGCTGAGCGAACTAACTTATACGGACATCGCAGACGTCAGGTATACCTATAGGGTTGTGGCTAAAGGGAATGGACGCGAGGTAGGTGACCGTGAGAAGTCTGGGTCCAGTCTGGGTTTATTGCGTGTTCGTGGTACGCGCGAGAACATCGTTTTTATGGGTGATTGGGAATTTTGGGATATATTTCAATTTTCAAAATCAAACCATAACTCCATAAGTCAAATTGCACAATTAGCACAAATGAAACCAAATTATGTTGATATATTAGAAAGATCTGTGTGCTATATAATCGAATTTATGCAAGGATATATAGGGTAAAAATCATACCATGTTTCAACACGGAAAAGGTATGTGCCTTTCGATATGGAGTCACAAATGCTTTTATTTTCTTCGTTCAATATTACTGTATTTTATATAAGGAGTTTTATTTAATACCATACTACAAACAGCACAAGGATTTGAAATATTCTCTAAAACAATTGCTTTGTAACCCTTTGTGTGTTAATTTTTTTATGCCTGGTTTACTATGAAATATTTTAGTATTTCCAAACTGAAATCAAATATAATCCCTCTCCACCTTGGAAAAAAGATAAGGCACATACCTTTTCCGTGTTGAAACATGGTATGGTTTTTACCCTATAAATCCTTGCGTAAGTTCGATTATATAGCATATAAATCTTTCTATAAATATACCAACATAATTTGGTTTCATTTGTGCTAATTGTGCAGTTTGACTTATGGAGTTATGGTTTGATTTTAAAAAGTGAAATATATCCCAAAACTCCCATTCATTCATTAATACGATGTTCTCGCGCGTACCACGAACACGCAATAAACACGCAACTAAACCCAGACTTCTCACGGTCACCTACCTCTCGTCCATTCCCTTTAGCCACAACCGTCTTCCCTAGCCGCGTCGTGAATCGTAAACTCTCTACTTATTACATGAATACGTTTTTCTTCTAACTGCATGCAGAAAATAAAAGCATTTGAGACTCCATATCGCAAGGCACATAATTTGCGTGTTAAAACATTAATAACTTTTAATTTTTACGGTATAAATACTTGCGTAAATGTTCGATTATATAGCATATACTGAAATCCTTCTAATATTTCAACATCGTTTGGTTTCATTTTATGCATTTTTTTAACTAAAACCCAAATAAATCTTTGACTTTGTGAAGTTTGACTTTGAAAATATATCCCAAAATAACAAAATTTCCATTCATTATTAAGATGTTTTCGTGCGTATCACGAACACGCAATAAACCCGCAACTAGACCTAGACTTCTCACGGTCACCTACCTCTCGTCCAATACCTGTTCCTTAAAGCCTCTTACAAACGATCAAGTTTTCTATGACAAGTTTTTATATGACAAGTTTTAATTGGCAATTGCACGTGTGTATGTACAACAACTTTTCTATGACAAGTTTTTCTTTGAAAAGTTTTGTTTGCTCGTGTGAACATGCCAACAAGTTTACTTTGACAATTTATAGTGTGCAGCCAGCGATGTAATCGTACAGCGGACAACGTGAGCGCGCCATTGTAAAATACTAAAGTCCACTGGCCAACCGCATACAAGTGCTCGCATTAGGTGACAAGTTTTCTTTGTTGACTCATACAAACGAGCAAAATTTGCACTTTGACAATTTTTTTATGACAAGTACACTTGTTCAAAATCAAGTATACTTGTCGAAGTTGGGCGTACAAACAAACAATTAAAACTTGTCACATAAAAACTTGTCATAGAAAACTTGCTCGTCTGTAAGAGGCTTAATTTGTAACAGTTTAATTTATTTTTTCAGTCCGAAGTTTGACAAGGATATTACAAACGTGTGGGATTATCACCGGAGCGTTGAACAATATCAATCAATTGGTGGGACAAGTCTAAGTAGTGTGGAGAGGCAGATAAATGTGTTAGGGGAATGGTTAAGTTTGCAGCAGTAGTAGATCAGGTGAAAGATAAAACGAAAAGGAGGAAAATAGAAACAAGATGAATTGGTATAAAAGACTATTTTTTCCATTGGTATTTTAAAGGTATATAGTTTTACTAGATTATTCGATATTTTAACAATATATGGTATATAGTTTTAATATGCAATTATTCAAAAGTAATAGGTGAGAAAAAACTGGATTTTCCATTTTAAGATTTGTGTGTTTTGAATATTTGGCAAAGATTTCGATCTTAAGATGGCGTCGATAATGCAAGTATATTGTTCCTATATCTAATTTTATCTATATGTTCAAGCTATCAGTATGCAAGGCTGAGCATGGATTATAGAAATGCCTGGCTAATAAATTGAATATAGTGTAGAAACAGCCATACATGCAGGATATGGGATCTTCCTGCCATTAATTGCACTATGCAAAATTTATGCAATTTAATGACCACTTTGCAAATAAAATAAATTCCAAATACACTTTGATCAAGTTTAATTCTCATTATGTACAATATGGCTAGGAGTGTCACCTACTACAGCAAAAGAGTGGAACAAATACTGCGCAGATACATGTACGCGTAGCGGACCTATTTTTAGAGTAGTCCTTGGCACAAAATGTTTAGCACGCCTTATTACACCAATACCGGCACTAACGTTGGATCATGTGGAGTCAACTTGTTTTTCCCGAGACATCTTTTCATTCCGGCTTATTTACGCCTAAGCATAAGTATTGTTTTGCTCTCTGTATTGGCTTATATGGGATTATCAGGGCGCTGTCCATAAATTAAGTGGCCAAAATGGTCAGACTAAATCAAATTTTGAATTGAAATAGAGTATTTCCTTAAGAATATACCAGCGGAGAAACTGCATTTTCCATGCTAACCATGTAAATATCGATAAAATGAATTTGACCGAGTACAGACTGGTAATTAGCAACTTGCTGATTGGCTAAGACAAAAGGTTTGTATTTCAATGAATCAAATAAAATGATAGTTATATAAAAAGTAAAAACACTGGGAAACGATGAAAAATTTAAAATATTATCAGAAACAGAAAAGTTCAAGACTAGCGGTGGAAAAGAACAGCTCGTAGTTTATAATCCTTGAAGTGGTGGGTGACTACTTTGTTTATTTCGTGTTTGCTCTAAGAATGCATTTTATGAGCTTGGTATGTCGTTTTGCGAAGACCTATATAAAACGGAACTATTTTTCCCCTGATTTCTTCGCTGATTTGACTTTAAATAAAATTCTATAAGATGGCCATTTGAGATTTACATTCATACTCTTACACCACAAAGATTTGAGGTTTTAAGATTCGTATCCAGTGAGAACAACTCCTTAGAGTTCAAGCCGTCAGAATGCTGTCACGACCCGACATCATGAACCTTTATACAACCCAGTGCCAGTGGACACAACCACCGTGTTTAAAGCAAATTCACGCTTTAGCGGCAAAGGCTGTTAACCATAAACGCCATATTATTGTTAGCCATGCATTATTCGAACGCTTTACGCTAAAAATATCTTTACTATATATACTTGTAGTAAACGGCGCAAACAGTGAAACAGCATCTCTAAACGATGGTATTAAAAACGGCTCAAGTTCTCAAACGGCTAGAAATATGTCAAGTGAGCTAAACATTGCTCGGATTGTTTCGCAGATTTCGTTGCTGTTTTGACTTTATATAAAATTCCAAAGGCAAAGAATGGCCATTCAAAGTGCTATATTATTAAAGAATAAAAGCCTTTGGATATTAACATGCAGCGGCGATATTATATATAATCACGTTGTTTTTTTATTTCAGGGAAACTCCTATATATTATATTAGATGAATAGTTAACTTTAATATATACGAGTTTTCGAAACCTGAGATCAAAACAACAGTGTCAGTGGAAATTAAAAAAATATCGCTTTGGGTTTGTCGACAAAGTTATGGGTTCTCATGAGTTGTCGCCGCTGCATGTTAATCCAAAGGCTTTTATTCTTTTATAATATAGCAGTATGAATATAAATTTCAAATGGCCATCTTTTAGAATTTTATATAAAGTAAAAACAACGACGAAAGCTGCGAAACAATCCGAGTCATGTTCAGCTTGTACTTGACATATTTCTAGCCGTTTGAGAACTTGAGCTGTTTTTAGGACCATCGTTTAGCGAAGCTGTTTGCGCCGTGTACTACATGCAAGTATATAGTAAAGATATTTTTAGCGTAAAGCATTCGAATAATGGCTATAACAATAATGATATGGCGTTCATGCTTTAAAAGCCTTGTCCGCTAAAGCGCGAATTTTTGTTGTGTCCACCGGGTTGTAACTGTAAGGTTAATGATTTCGGGTCGTGACAGAATTCTGACGGCTTGTACTCTCAGGAGTTGTGCTCACTGAATACGAATCCTAAAACCTCAAATCTTTGTGGTGTAAGAGTATGAAGGTAAATCTCAAATGGCCATCTTTCAGAATTTTATTTAAAGTCAAATCAGCGAAGAAATCATCGAAAAAATCTCGTCAATTTGAGCCACATATAGAAGAGATCTTTTTTGCTTAGAGTATTCGAATAATTGTGAGCATTGATGATATGACATTTACAGTTCAATAAACCAATGTGGAAAAACGAAAATTTGCAGAAACCGGGTTAGTTGCCTTCGCGAAGAGGTTAAATTTATGCCACGGGTGCGTGCATGAAATCAGACGGCTAGACTTTACAGAAGTTGCCTGTCGTGGTTTCGCAGCTAGAAGGTTAGAAGTATAAGGATATGCTCATAAGCTTTCTCTCGAATGGCTATCTTAGTTTTTACAAAGACTCGTCGTAAAGCTATATAGGCCGTATTTCACTTTGTGCCGAATACACACATGAATAACAATACGTCAATACGACAATAGTGGATAGATATGAGCTGGAATCATGAAATGAATGTTTCGGCACACGTAAAATACGGCGAAACAACGTAGCCTATGAAATGGGCCTTAAGAGTCTTAACTCTTAAGACACTAACTAATTAAACTGAATGCATGCGAAACTGTTATAAAATGTCATGCAAATTATTTGCCAGTATATTGGCGTGCAAGGGACGTTTAGTACATCCGACGTCAAATCCTTCATAATGAAAAGAAAAAAATTTAAACAATTTTACATGTTTTCACTTACGACTGGGCAGAATAAAAACAGGATTTTGTCTCTGCGAAGAAAAAATGAGGGATGCTAGCATAACTTTCGACAATCTGGTGTCTCTGCAGGTGTCATTACTTTGTAAACGAAGGCGACATAATGTCTTAATGATTTTTATGTTCAGTAGATGCCTTATAATTAAATTGATTTGAATGATAAACAAGAGCATATATGAATATATTTTAATATGTCATTATGATTTGTTTGTCATGAATCAAGTGCTTAAATATTCTGTTGCGTGCATGGCATCAGTTTAATTCGTATGACCACTTTACGCACACGTAGTCTTGTTTTCAGTAGATCGTCAGTAGCTGATTTCAGAGAAAGGTATGTCAGAAACGAACGACGGTGACGAACGCTGCCATACGTTTAAATGGAACTTTGGCCCCATTCGTCTTAATTTCAATCCTGTTGTAACTCTCATTGCTGCTTTCAAAATATGGTTATTCGTTGGCATATGCATGCGTTACCCCGACTGGTCTCATTCCATAATGACCATCGCCAAAGTGTGGATCACCGACAACTTTACATGGTTCTACATCGGTAGCGTCAACGTTTGGTTCATTTTCATACTGGTCGTTTATTTTTCGAAGTATGGAAGCTTGAAGTTAGGACGTGATGATGACGAGCCGGAGTTTAGTGATGCAACCTACTTTACAATGCTTTTCGCGGCAGGTATTGGCGTAGGCTTCTTCTATTTTGGCGTGGCTGAGCCAGTGTATCACTACAAGCCTGGTGTGTATGGAAATCGTTATTGGGGAAGGTTAGTGTGTGTTTTTCCTCAAACAGTGAGATAGTGCAACTATTATAAGTGCATTTTATTTGCCATATATTTACGTTTGAACACTAAACAAACTATTCGTGACGAGATAACCTAAGTCGTACACAGTTACAATAAAAATGTTTACATGTTAGTCTTATCGACGAATTTCTCGAACATCTGTATAGCAATGAATTTACTGCATATCACGTATACGTTTAAGCTATAAGAACAGAGAACTTCGCTCAATTAATGGGAAAGAAATTCAATTGCTGACGTTTCATTGTTCACTTAGAGCGTTAGAGATAAAGGACAGGATGTCAAAATGTAACTTAATTAGTACTATGCTAAGGCTAACACCTAAGACGACGATAAGAAATGTGAATCTGACGGTTGAAGCTGAAATAATATTAATAGATACATTTGCGGATGCCAAGGACACCAATACAGACTATAATATATATAGTATTAAGCAGTTTGAACTCCCTTTTATGTACTGCATGTATGCCCGCTGATGCGGTTTCCGCTCAATCGGAAACAATGAAGGCAGTAATATTTTAATTTTCTTGTATGATTGCATGGCGACTTTAGTAATTATAATACCTACAAGTTATTATAATTAGTAATATTTTAGCTTACAAATATTAATGAGAATACCTCTCAGAGATCCCTGAAAGACATCTATATAAAAACTAACAATGCAGAAGGTCAAAACAGAAAGGGTTTGCAAGGAACAGCATGAAATTTTTTTAATAAGTTGACTGACAAACACTGTTAACATGCTCTGCACATGCAGGGCGAGGACAACTGACATTCTTCATTCAGGCATATACCCGCTCATCCCTAACGCCGGTAGCCACAATGATTAGCCAGCAGGTGCAAATACTCAGATTCATCTCAATTAAATTTATATTGATGATACATTTTGAGGGGCAGTCTTACGAAATTGTTCTTCCCACTAAAGAATATTGATAAAGGTCCTTTTCACATTTTCACGCTTCTATTGCCCTTAAACTTAATACGTCGACCATTTGATGAATTTACAGATTGTTCTTCGACGATTTTAACAGATGAACAATTTTGCTCGCGTGTAATCCGTAAACTAGCTCTAGATCCTCTTAGTTGAGAACGATCGAGCAATAGTGCATGATTTGATTATTGTGGAAGCTTATTGCTATATTCTTAACACTTTTCAATCGTTTATTTTTTTAACCTATATATTAAATTATATTTTTATAGCTATAATAACCTTGTATAATTAAACTGATTAGCATTTCAATCCAAGCGCCGGATTGTGGACTATCCCTATCCCTATATTTCGATGACTGCATGTTTCTGTTAAACGCGTGAAGAAATTTCCACAAGATTAACGGTCAGAAAGAAACGAAAACTTAGATCTCCTTTGAAGCAGTAATCGTTTTCCCAGTGATAAATTCCTCAATGATATTGTCTTGTAAGCATGGTTCACTTGATTAGTATGATAATTGTAGCTATCATAATATCTAGCATATTTGAAATTCCTAATTAAGACGATGAATACTATATTTTGATGGCACAACATGCAAACTTAAAACGAAAGAGATAAACAACGTGTTGTATTAACTGTGTTATATTAGTCAGATGACTGAAAACCTATCTACTGTAGAGTGGATTTAGCTTTGCCAATTAAAATTAAAAATGCATGGTGTTTCCACAAACAAACGTCCAAAATTACTATTATCGCTATATGCAAACTTTCAAAGGACCTATCTATCTATACATCGTCTCATGCCACCACATTACAAAAATATACCATGTGAGGTTGCAAAATTTTCGAAGAGTCCTAAAATTAAACTAGAGATTCAAGACTTATTATTTCATTTAAAACTAAAATTTTGATTTCATTAGATACTGGTAATCCTGAAGAGGCTTGTCTATAGAATTTAATGGACATTGCAATTCTCTAGCAGTAGAAATTAGAAATCTTGGTGGGATAAAAAATTTGCACGATTACTAAAGTGAAGTCATGTGTTACAATCATTTCAACAACCTTTCTAAGGGCTGATTGGCCAAAATATGTGCGCCAGATCATGTGATTGTTAATTGGAATACCTATTTGAAACTGTCCTGGGTTTCAGGTGCCGTCTTGGATCAATATTTGCCCGAGGGGACGTCTGCCCGAGGGGACTTTTTGTGACTGAGGGAAATATTTCCCTATTTAATTCTCGCCCGGACACGAGGGAATTTAAGTGGCGCTGAATAAGCAAGATTGATCATGACAATTCAGCATCAAGAGAATTAATTATTCGTTTTTAAAATACATTAAAGTATTTTATTTTGTCGGTATAGATATTCGGATAACCAACGATCTCAAGATGCCATCAATATCACCTTGTTTCACTGGGGAATCCACGGCTGGATTGTCTACGTGGTTGTTGGTCTTGCTCTTGGTGTGATATCGCACAGAAAGGGACTGCCGATGACCATACGTTCCTGTTTCTATCCACTTCTTGGGGACCGCATCTTTGGCTTGTTGGGGGATGTTATTGAGATAGTGGCGATTGTATCGACCATGTTCGGGGTTTGTGCTAGTCTTGGTGCTGGTGCTATGACAATGAACTCTGGCTTAAATCAACTCAATGATTCCATCGAAATTAACACGACTAATCAAACGATAGTTATTTGGGTCATCACTTTTTTCGCCACTGTGTCTGTCGTGTCCGGTCTGAGGCTTGGCATTCGAAGGCTGAGTGAAATTTGTTTCGGCCTTGGTATATTTATCATGTTAATCGTCCTATTCTGTGGCAAAACAGCATACCTTATTAATCTTTATGTTCAAAGCATTGGCTATTACATTCAAAATGTAATTCAAGTTGGCTTCCATACTGATTCGTTTGCTCAGTTAGACAATGCCCCAGACAACAAGGAAAGTTCCACGTGGATGCATAGTTGGACCATTGCATACTGGGGCTGGTGGATAGCCTGGTCACCCTTCGTCGGCATGTTCATCGCAAAGATATCTAAAGGCAGAACCATAAGAAATTTCATCACCTACACCCTTACTGCGCCTATTTTTTTCGCCTTTATGTGGTTTGTCGTGATTGGCGGCTCTGGCTTAGACATGGAACGCGAAGCAGCTGCCAAAAATATTACATGCGAATCCCTTCTTGGCGGCAAGGATTCTGCCGAACCGTATGAAGGACTTTATCGATTATCTTGTCGTGAACAAAGCCAGATGTATTTTGATTTAATCCAACAATATGGTGATGTTGTTGGGAAGTTCCTTCGGATTATCTCGATGGCCAGCATTTTGTTGTATTTCGTGACAAGTTCCGACAGTGGCTCCCTTGTGATTGATTGCCTCTCAGCTAATGGTAGTCCAGATCCCCCCGTCACTCAACGTGTCTTTTGGGCACTAACTGAAGGTGCAACTGCTTGTGCCTTACTCACAGCTGGCGGAAAGAATGCCATTGACGCTGTTCTTGCTGCTGCAGTTGCTTCGGGTCTGCCATTTTGCCCAATATTGTCACTGCTTTGTGTTTCATTGTGGAAAGTGTTGAAATCCGAATACGGTGATGTCACCGGCGACGAGAAAAAGTTCCATGCTGATCTTTTAGAAGTGTTCGACTTTCCATCTGTTAAAAACCTCCAACGAGTCTTAATCGCCATCATAGCACCATGGTTGCCTGCTGGTCATGCCGCTGGTAAGCTTTACCGCAAGCGCCCATGGCGGTATATGCTTATCATGGCTGTTTTGTTCTACACACCATTCTTACTGTTTATTCTGCGTGTGGTGGATGACAACATGGTGTATGTTGGTTTTGCTTTGCTTTGTGGTTTCTACATTTACGCTGTTGGGTTAAGAGGATCGATTCGGGACCTCAGTGGGATTCCCGGTAATCTGATGGAAGATGGTCTGGCGATGATTGTCTATTTCTTAGCTGTCGATCAATTGGATAAACACATGTGTATTGAAGAGAGCCAAAAGAAGAACGATACAAGACCTCTAACGAATTTCGGTAATAAACACATCAATGTCAATGGCAGCGCAGAGGAAATCAAGGCGGGGCAATCGGCGCCGGCTGTGAAGTTATTACACGAAGAGAACACGTACGTTTAATTCGCAGTTAGATCGCGAACATACGCCTATTAATAATAATTCATTGATGTAGACTAGAACCCAATTACCGTTAGTTATAAAACTATAGTAATTATTTCTGTACTTAGTTTAAAAAAAATATAGGAATCAGTAGTTAATTCATGTCATTCGAAAACAATTCAATAAAGAGTTTTAGAAATAGAAATTATACTGACAAGGGTGCATTTCAGGGTGCATTATAGCAACATTTCCAAGTGTTCAGATCAGGCCATCCAAACACGGCAGGCCAGTAATTGTTTTATAGAATAACAACAACAATGTAGTGTTCCAAGTTTGATTTCAAAAAGCGAATTAAATTTCCGTGTTTGGATGGCCTGATCCAAACACGGGATTCAAGCGATCAGAACACGCGTTATATACATGTTATTTTATAAAATTGGTATAATGCACGTGTGTCTTCACTTCAGTAACTTAAGTAAAAGTCTTTGTGATATGCCATGGCGGAACATCAGGGGAGAGTAGAGCATCTCAAATTTGGGGGACACAAGTTTCTAGGGGCATTTTTCAGTTAACAAGACAGCTGTTCTCGACTGGGCCGGTTGTTCAAAAGCAGGTTAAATTTAACCCTGGGTTAGTGCTAAAGCAGCTAAACCTGGGTTAAAATCCTTAACTCTAGGTTAGCTAAACCTGGGTTTAAAACTGTGTTGTTCAAAGCAGAGTTAGCGGTAGGGTTAGTTAACCCAGGGTTAAAATATTTAACCTAAGATTAAATGTACTCTAAGGACTAAATTGGATATAAAAACGTTTTCGATTGCATGGTCAATAAACGAGCGTCAAAACTTTACCCAACGAGGATATATTGTCAGTCGAAAGATTATATGCCGTGAGGGCAGGGTCGAAGGGACGTTGTTTTGAACAGAAATTTCCGTGCATGGAATTTTGGAAAGATTCGAAATGAAAGGCCATTTTGTGCTCCTCCAAGTGCTCCTTTCGTTGAGCACTTTTATGACAAAGGAAACCACCTACCAATAAATATATATATATATATATTATAATATATAATATATATATATATATATATATATTAATATATATATATATATATATATATATATATATATATATATATATATTGAAGGATTCTTTCTTCGTAAGATCGCAGAAAAAGTGAGAATTTGAAAAGGTGGTATGAAACTAACCTTGGAGAGGTTCGAAGAAACTAAATCATACTCAAGCAAACTTTTAGCTGCTTCGGTCATGCTGGGTTTGGCAATATTGAAAGATGTAATAGGATCCTAATTAAAGAAAAGTATCATCCAATTCTTCAAGGACATGGAATTTCATCTGGTACAAAGATGATCGCGCGTCTAATTACATGATAATCACCCTAAGCACATGCACACCTTCTATGTGCCAGAAATCTGTTAGAAGCAAACTCGTTCTGGTGATCTCGTTCTCATGGCTTTATTTCTACCTCAAGTCCCAGATCTGAAACTTATGGTGCACTTGCAGGACCGTTTTAACCGGAAAAGGGCGAGGCGCAGACCCACCAGCGAGGATGACTTGACGCAAGTGGTCAACGAATGCTGGCTGAGAGGTATTGAACGTGCAACATTAAAAAACTTATGGAATTAATGCCGGAAACAATAAAAAAACGGTTCAAGAGGAAAAAAGAGGGATACTAAGAATTGACGTGTAATGCATGTTTGCACATAAACATAGCTACGTTAAATGAATATCATAACATCCCATATAGTTGTTGTTTCAGTTTACTTATTTACTTTTTTCTAGTTCACTTATGTATGGGTAAGGTTTTCTGTAGAATATTAATATATATATATTAATATATATTATATTATATTAAATATATATATTATATATTATATATATATTATATATATATATATATTATATATATATATATATATATATATATATATATTTCTTTACCATATTCTTTACTGTAATAATGCAAATACGGTTCCCAGTACACGTATATATTATATTTAAAGGTTGTAGAATACAGATAGTTTACAAAAGTTTGAATGCTTATCATTACTAACAGATCACTCTCTGCAGGTGCTGCAGCTGACATGGCATGCTTCTTATAGACATAGTTATAATCATAATTCGGATTTGTTACTTTCAAATTTAAGGGTTTTTAAAAACAATACCAACACAGAACGTTGTCCGTGTATAACCCCCCCACCGTGTATGAGACATCACAAAACCCACCCGACCTAATATAAACCCATGCATAGCTTATGTACGGAGGTTCATTACTACATTACATATAAGTTACATTCTTGTTTGTAAAAACTGGAATGTTATAATGTTAACAACAATCACAGCCCCAGTAGAAGCAGTGATCTCGTCCACATTCCGGGAATTCGACGTAATCATCATCATCCTGTCGGGCCCAGTTGTCTTCTCTGTTTTTCTGCACATCATTTAGGCGTTTTACTTCTTTGCAAACCCTGCATTTCTGCTCGCCTTTGTTCAGTTGGGTCACACTGAATTCCTGACGTGGGAATCGGCGCTTGCATCGAGTACAAGTTGTGTCAGCCATGGGAAAGCTTGTTGTTCCTTTCTCTTGAATAACGTCGATTGGGAGAAACCCGTTTGTTTCGTAGTCATCGTAAGACCTCTCTTCCTTTTCTCGATAAAACTTGATATACTTATTGGAGGCAATCTTCAATCGAGCTTTCTCGACACTGCTGAGAATATCCGCCATTTTGTCATACAGTTTGAACATACCAATGGTATCAACCTTACAGTATTGAATCAACGTTGTTGGCAACGGTCTTATCTTCCATGCTATGGTATTTTTCTCAAAAAGATGTTTTCCCTTATCTTTTATTTCAGTTAATTTGGCATCATCAACATATAATTCCAGGCAACGGCGAAATCCATAAATTTTTTCAACGGCGTCTGTAAACTGGCTACGCCGTTTGTGAGTAGATCGACCAAATTTTGCATTTGTCGAAGGCTTTGTACTTTTTGCTGTGGAATTCTCACGGCGGTGCATAATTTCAAGTAACTGAAGATCCAAGACCCCCGCTAGTTTTACGTTAAACTGATGCCAGAGGGCGTCGGAATCTTGTCGGCAGTCAAACATCAATTTCTCTTGTGTTTCGTCCTCAAGGATTTCGCGAAGTCCGCTGTCGAAGATTGCTCTTCCAACCTTGAACACATCAAATATGTATGCCTTTTCTCTGGTTGCTATTGACAGTATCGTCAATTCTCCTTTTCTACTCAACGAAACCCCTTCACAATCAACAGCTACAAGACTGTTGCCGGTTTGTATATACTTGTTCAGCTCTGTTATGGCGTCTTTAACAACAAGTTCATTGTCGATAAGCTGCGATTCAGTTTGGATTTGTTCTGCCATTATCATCACACGAATCTAACGTATAGTTTTGCTCAATTTTAATTCATTAATGTTCGAAGAACTTTACACTTATGCAGTGGGAAAAATATCGACAAACGTTCGTGATGCAAAGACAGCTTTCGGTTTCCAGGTATTTCGTTTCCCCTTTCCAAGAAAAGCAAAAACAACCGGAAGAGAATAATCCAGCGTCTCCATAGTTTTTCCAGGTTTAATGGTTTTAAGTAACACTGAACAAACACTGAATTCGTTGTGTTGTGTCGTACATGCGGAAGCCAAAGTTGCTAGCTAAAGTCCAAGGCTCCTGTCCAAGCTGTATTTGTCAGAAATCTCATAAAACAACTTTGGCTTGCGGTAAATTGTGTTATAAATGTATATAACGCGTGTTTTGATTGGTTGAAGCTCGTGTTTGGATGGCCTGATCGCCTGTTTTTGATGGCCTGAAATTTCGTGGGAATTTAAAAACGAGTTTATTATGGTTTGTTATTTTATAAAACAATTATACTTTTAAAGTGGTTTCCATGTTTGGATGATCTGATCCAAACACTTGGGAATGTTGCTCGAGTTAAAAAAAACTCGCAAAACACTCGCCTTCGGCTCGTGTTTCGCGCGCTTTTCTTAACTCTCGCAACATTCCCGCGTTTTTTGGATCAGGCCATCCCAGTGAACTCCATATATATATATATATATATATATATATATATATATATATATATATATATATATATATATATATATATATATAGCTTCAATTCACCACATCGCGGTGTTCAAAAATTAAACTTTTAATAAATCAAATCAAATGCATCTTGTAATATATACTACGTTTCGGGGCGTGAGAAGAAGGGCACTGCATCCAAAGAAGGGCACTGCAGATTATTTTCCCAAAAATCCCCTACAAGGAATGTATGGCTAAAGCAAACCTCCAAACACTGTTTGAACGTAGAGAATCTTGTTCCCAAAAACTTTTTCAAGAGATTGTTGCTAACAGCTACCACAAGCTAGCTAACCTCCTTCCACCTCGGACTGGCACCGCCACAAGTCGTCTGCGAACAAAGAGAACATTCCACACATCACGAGCTCGTACCGATCGTTGTAAGAACTCCTTTATCACGTATTATGCAGCGAAACATTCCACCTAATTATTTTTCCATCATTATATATCTGGATTTTATTTGTATTTAAAATATCTTACAAACTTAGATTTTTGACTATAATTTATTGTAAATATCTTTCATGCAATTCAGTTTTGTAACTGCAATATGAAGATTTTTAAATAAACTTTATACAGAAATGTTTCTCTACTAATCCTGAGCCTTCTTATATAGTTACAACACATTTGCATACATAAATTAACCTTAAGTTTCCTCCCTCACATTTAATCCCATAGGACAATAAGTCATTAACTTTTCTATCCAAAAACTTTCCCTCTCATTAGGTTTGTTGATATCAGTAACATCAATTATTTGAACACTTATGTCCCCTAATCCCTTATGTCCTTGTTCAAAAAAATGTGCATATAAACCCTGACCACAAATACCTCTCTGACCCCTACCAAAACGTAACAATGAGCTTTTATGATTATTAAATCTCAACCTAAATGCCGTAACCGTGTTCCCGACGTACTGTAGATGGCATGTCTTACAAGTTATCAAATAAATCACCCCTTCCGAATCACAATCAAAGGCATGATTTATGTGATAAACTTTACCCGTTGAAAAGCTACTAAATTTAGACCCCAAGATAATATAATTACACACTTGACAGCGCTTCTTACCACACTTAGACATGCCTCTATCCGAAGTTTCAATACTACGTAACTTAGACCTGACCAGATGATCTTTAAGGTTCCTCGGTCTACGAAAACTTAACAGTGGTTTTTCAGGTAAAACCTTAAAAAATCCGATGACATCTCAACTATACCCTGCATTTCCTGCAAGGTACCCTTTAAACAATTAAGTGCCGGATGAAAATCCAGTACCAAACAAACCCTATTGTCTTGACCCTTACACTGATCAGACACAATCTGACGATCATAATTCCTAACCCTATTAAATTGTTTCTCAATAAAACCCCGATCATAGCCTCGCTCCATCAAGAAACCTCTTAGATCATCCAGTCTACCCTCCAAAATTTCCTCCGAACTACAAATTCGTTTAAGCCTAAGTCCCTGTCCATATGGTATCCCCCTCTTGACATGCGACGGATGGATCTTTCTGATATAGAATTAAATGGGGGGGAGATTTCTCTTCTGTCTAAAGGTCTAAAGTTTTGTCCCACACCTAAGGAGTTGGATAGATCTGCTATTAAAAGGGATTTTAAAGAATTTGAACGTAAAACTAAGTGTAAATATTATTTTCTTTTGAGTCCAAGTGAGCAACGGGAACAAGGCTTTAGACAATTCAGAGAGAAATCGACTTGGATGCCTTATATTAAGGATCCGGCAGTGGAATTGTATTTTAAAAAGCTTGAAGAGAAGATTGATCTCATAAAAGAGGGGGGTCATAATTATAGTAATCTTTCGGATAAATAACAGCAAGCGTTAAGATCTTTAAAGAATAGGAGGGATATTGTTATAAAAGAAGCAGATAAGGGGGGAGCTATAGTAGTTTGGGGACGGGAGGATTACTGTAAGGAGGCCTATAGACAACTTAATGATAAGGATGTCTATGAGCTTGTATCTGACGAATCTGATATTTTGGATAAGGTTTCGAGGCTCGTATCGGCGGAATTGGACGCATTAGTGAGTAGTGGATATATTAGTGTGGAGAATAAAAAATATCTAAACGTAGGTAAACCGCGTTTGGGTAGATTTTATCTTCTTCCTAAAATTCATAAGAATTTAGAAAATGTGCCAGGTAGACCGGTGATTTCAAATTGTGGGACAGTTACAGAGCGTATCTCTGAATTTTTGGATTTCCATGTTCAACCTTTAGTTGCGGAGTTTGTTCCTTCGGTTATTAAGGATACTTCGGAATTTTTGCAAAAATTACAAAATTTGGGGCATATACCGTCTACCGCTATTTTGTGTACTATAGATTGTTGTGGGATTATATCCACATATCCCACATGATGAGGGTCTAGATTCGTTGAGACGAGCAATGCAAAATACTAATGAAGAGTTGCCCGTAGATGGATTAATAGCTTTAGCCAAAATAATATTGGAGAATAATTATTTTGAGTTTGACGAGAAAGTATTTCGTCAGAAATTGGGTACAGCCATTGGTACGAAGTTTGCTCCGGGGTTGGCCAATATTTTTATGGGATATCTTGAGGAAAAGTTTATCAGCTCTTGTGAATTAAGACCTTGGGTTTGGTGGCGATTTTTGGATGATGTTTTTATGATTTGGCTTCATTCGGAAGAGGATTTAAATATATTCTTACACCGTTTGAATACATTTCATATAACAGCATCAAATTTACCTGGGAAGTAGGTTTTAGAAAGATTTCCTTTTTGGATGTGGCGGTGACTCTTACCGATGATGGTTTCGATACTGATGTGTTTAGCAAGCCTACTGATGCACATCAGTATTTGAATTATGGTTCGTGTCATCCGTCGCATGTCAAGAGGGGGATACCATATGGACAGGGACTTAGGCTTAAACGAATTTGTAGTTCGGAGGAAATTTTGGAGGGTAGACTGGATAATCTAAGAGGTTTCTTGATGGAGCGAGGCTATGATCGGGGTTTTATTGAGAAACAATTTAATAGGGTTAGGAATTATGATCGTCAGATTGTGTCTGATCAGTGTAAGGGTCAAGACAATAGGGTTTGTTTGGTACTGGATTTTCATCCGGCACTTAATTGTTTAAAGGGTACCTTGCAGGAAATGCAGGGTATAGTTGAGATGTCATCGGATTTTTTAAGGTTTTACCTGAAAAACCACTGTTAAGTTTTCGTAGACCGAGGAACCTTAAAGATCATCTGGTCAGGTCTAAGTTACGTAGTATTGAAACTTCGGATAGAGGCATGTCTAAGTGTGGTAAGAAGCGCTGTCAAGTGTGTAATTATATTATCTTGGGGTCTAAATTTAGTAGCTTTTCAACGGGTAAAGTTTATCACATAAATCATGCCTTTGATTGTGATTCGGAAGGGGTGATTTATTTGATAACTTGTAAGACATGCCATCTACAGTACGTCGGGAACACGGTTACGGCATTTAGGTTGAGATTTAATAATCATAAAAGCTCATTGTTACGTTTTGGTAGGGGTCAGAGAGGTATTTGTGGTCAGGGTTTATATGCACATTTTTTTGAACAAGGACATAAGGGATTAGGGGACATAAGTGTTCAAATAATTGATGTTACTGATATCAACAAACCTAATGAGAGGGAAAGTTTTTGGATAGAAAAGTTAATGACTTATTGTCCTATGGGATTAAATGTGAGGGAGGAAACTTAAGGTTAATTTATGTATGCAAATGTGTTGTAACTATATAAGAAGGCTCAGGATTAGTAGAGAAACATTTCTGACGAAGGGGCTGCGCCCCGAAACGTAGTATATATTACAAGATGCATTTGATTTGATTTATTAAAAGTTTAATTTTTGAACACCGCGATGTGGTGAATTGAAGCTATATATTTAAATAGTTTTTTCTTTTGGACTGGCTCCTGATGTATATAATTTAAATAGTTTTTTCTTTTGGACTGGCTCCTGATGTATATATATATATATATATATATATATATATATTATTATATATATTATATATATATATATATATTATATATATATATATATGTTGAACATGATTTGCTCCAAAATAAATTTGGAGTTGCAACACAGGTAATAATATAGGCAAAATGTTCTCCGTGTTTACTATACTCACCCTTGACGGGCATATTCAAACCTAAGAATATAAGGGTGAGTATAGTAAACACGGAGAACATTTTGCCTATATTATTACCTGTGTTGTAACTCCAAATTTATTTTGGAGCAAATCATGTTCAACAATATAGAAATCCTACAGAGTATTGTAGGCGTAGGTTCCTAATAACCAAAAGTACTTGGCGTGGAATATACCTACGTATTTTTAACTATACTTATTTCCTGCATTGTAAGAATGTTCATGACGACGATGAGATGAGTTGTGTGGCACTTGGACATTTGATATGTTAAGAATGTATATTCGCACTGATGAATACGTAAAATCGATCTCTCACATTCAAGCCGATGAACGCTTTGGATGGA